GATGTGTTTCAAAATCAGAAGCAGTAGTTTGTTGGAAATAGTCAAATGCTTAAGCCTGTTGAAAGACTGATAGATATATATTGTAACAACTGGTCTCGATATTAAAATAAATATAATATCCAAACTTGGCTCCATGTATCTACCCCTTGAATTCCTAATTGGGCAAAGCTATGATGGCGCCTTAAGCATGAGTGGAAGAATCAATGAAGTGCAGGTTTGATTAGAGCGGAGGCGCCAAAGGCAGCTTTTATTTGTTGCTATTTTCATATTAAATTTAATTATTGTTCAAGTATGTCAATCAATAAAAGAACTTCGAAATGTTTTAGGAATATTAGACGAGATTTATGTATATTTTAATGGTGTTAAAAGATATGAGGTGCAATCGCAAGATTTCTACGCATCAAAAATACCACTAGGAAATATTGTCGTATTTTAGTTTTAAAATTTTTATTTTACATTTATAGTAGCTGTCTATCATCATACAAAGCAATTGTAAAAATTTTTCTACTTTATGATGCCTTGAGGGCAGCTTTGACAAATTAAAAGGATTCTGAAGATCCTTCCACCCACTATTGCTAGTGCCATAGTCTTTAGAATAGAAAAATTTGATTTTATTTTATCACTTTGTGTTTTGGATAAAATATTGTTGATAACAAGCTTGGCTTGTACAAAATTGCAAACTATTTCGAAGGATATAGGGTTTGCAATAAATCAAAATCAATTGGCAAAAGATTGCCGGATTAATTTGAGAAATATACCCTTCAATACTATGGTGGGGTATATGAAACTCCAGGCATGCTAGAAAGGATATTACATAAAAACGGTTAAATATTATGATCCGGATTCTTCAGTAGCTTCATCAAATATATTTTAGAATCTATCAAGTTTCATATATTTTGATTGAGTAGTTTTTAAGATATAAGCATTTTGTGACTGATTGTGGTTTGTGAGACCCCATCAGAGTAAGTTTGTAATTTTTTAAGAAATTTATATCTTTAAAATTTTAAAATTATAAATATATACTACTATATTATATAATTTATTAAAACAAAATTTAAATATCTTATAGTTTGAATGAGATATATGAAAAAGAAAATGTAAAGATTTTCTCTGGTGGAGTTATTTTATTTTTATTTTTCACTAGCTGACTCATTTCTCAAATTATTTTTATCATTTATAATGATTTTTGTAGATTCTGAAACTATATATAAAAAATTATTTAGGATGTATATCATTTTATTTGAGGTGATTATGACAATTTAATATAGTGAGGATGAAAATTTTATATATGATAGTGATCATGATACACAATCTGAATTAGATGAAGAAGAAATGTTAGTTGAAGACAATAAACTTAGTATTATTTAGGTAAATATGAAATCGTTTATTATAGTATATTTCCCTTTAAAATTAGCTAAAAAAATAAGTTTACTATATGAAATAAGGATCTTCCTAATCAAAGAATAAGAACTCATCAACAAAATTTAGTTATTCTGCCAGGAGTAAAAGAATAAGAAAAAGAAGCTGACACTCCAGAAAAATGTTTTGATTTATAACACCAAAAATGATTGAAGAAATTATTATCATACCAATGAAAAAATTAAAATTATATGTAAAAACTATACTAACCAATATGAAAGTTCTACTAAAGAAGTTGATGTAACACAAATCAAGACATTACTAGGAAATCTTTATTTAGCTGGAATTTTTAAATCTAACCATCAAAATAAAAATAACAAAAATTTTTTTTTCAAATATGTAAAATATTTATGTTTAGAACACATTAATGTTTCATGTAATAAATGTTATGCATGTCAAATTTAACATATTTCAATGTTCTATATTTTTTTTATGTAGTGTATTTTTTTTATTGAAGAATAAAGATCCATATTATGAATTATCATGATTATATGATAGATAAGTTATTTTTTAATTTAATATTTGAAATTTAAAAAAAGTAAGCTTTTTTAGAAAATTTTGGCACAAATTATAATTATCCACATCATCTTTAATCTAAGCTTAAGAAATAAAAATAAATAAATATTTTATCAAGTTTAAGGTTAGTTCTATCTTATATTCAAATATTAAATAAAAATAATGAATACAAATAGACATATACATTTGAAATTGGGGTCTATTAAACCCCACCCGAGTACTAAAGTCATTTTTTTCAGCGGAGTATTTAAGGGTTAATCCTAATAGATAATAACAATGAATTTTTGAATGTTTTTTCAAAGGCTCAAGATTTTATGAAGGAGAGAAATCTACCTCTTGATTTTGAAAGTTACAGACTTCAAACGTTACAATCCAAAAAGGAAAGATATATATATACTTCATCATTAAATATAATATTTTATTTTAGCTTTAAAAAGTGTGTTTTATGCTGCACTTGAATTGATTATTATGCAGTTTAATGAAAGATTTAATGATGAATCGATAAAATTTTTAAATCAAAAATCATTTTTTACACCAAAGGGAATGGCAGAAAAAAAGATGATATCGAGGATATTTGTGAATTTTACCATTTAAATTCAAGTCAAACTTTTGATGTTGAAGCTCAGAAATATTTATAAGATGACTAAAACGGGGGGATGTAATTATTACTCGTGACCTAAAGGTTAAAGAATCTAAAGATTTATCAGATTCTGAGAATAATTTATTTTTAAAATATTTATACAAATACATTATTTAGCCTCTTCTTCTGATGATGATGATAATCCTGAGACTTATGATTCAGACTGTACAAACTATTCGTTTATTTTACCTTATAGTCTACTTTAAATTTTTTATGCTAATTTAACAATTTTATATAAATATTTATTAACCATTCCTACTACCTCATGTACTGCCCAAAGGGTCATGAGTAAAATTAAATTAATTAAAACAAGACTTCGTAGTACCATGAAAGATCCATTTCTCAATAATTTAACCAATTTATCTATGGAAAAAAATTTATTTAAACAATTAAATATTGATGAAATTATAAATTCTTTCTCTTCCCCTATTTTATCTAAATTATTAATTTAAAAATAATATTTTTAAATATTTATATATTTATTTTACATTTTATTTATATATATTAAAGATTGATGAAATAAAAATTATTTTTGAAATTTATGGGTGTCGAAAAATAATTTTCGAGGGGGGGGGCACATTTGAGGGGGTTATTCAGCATCCATCCAGAAATATAGGGGCGACTCTAGATAATATAAACGGTATTATAAAAAAAATAATATATTATAAGATAAGTTCACTTTGTTATAATTTTTTATCTATTTTTAACAATTGATTTTCAGAGCATTGATTTGTTATAAAAGGCGCGTACAGCACAGTTTTTGCTGTACTAAATATAATCACTGGTGCAGAGATTGGGGAGGAGATTGTATTATATTTAATAAATAAAATTTTTAAATGGGTAAATTTATTAAAAATATTTAAAGAATGAACCTTTTTTTTTATAAAAAAAACTTGTTAGATAATCATCACATAATCTGGTAGTTGTGTTATACTACCAGATCTAATTTTTAAAATTATTAATGTTTAAAAATTTTTCGTATTATTAGTCCCAGAACAAAGTTTTCTTATATTTATCTGAAGTAATAAGTCCCATTGACATATTTTCTTTAAAATATATAAAATAAGAAAGTATTAAATCACATACCTTAATTGTTTCAATATTAATTAGATTAAAAATCATGGCTGTATAAAATTAAATAAAAAAATGTTAAATAAAATAAAAATGAGGAACTTTGGTTATAAGTTAGAAGCTATCTAAATCTGTATCTAACTTTTTGCTTGTATAGGCATTAATACATATGGTTATAAATATATAAAATAAGTGGTTTAGAAATATGTTGTGATCTAATCAGGGATTCGTATATGACTAACCGCATAGATCTGTGTTCGAATTATTAAAGATAATATTTTTTCTGAAACTAGCTGGTTGTTATGCAACGACTACGAGGTATAATATATAGCAGATGTGAAATGGCTAGTGTTAACAAAAGACCCTATTTAGGTCGATTTTTAAAATGGTCCGATTAATATTTTAGCTAAAATAACTAACAGGTCTCAAGATTTGACAAATAGAGGCCCAAACCAAACGACCATCTATAGGAAAAATATTTTAGACATAATATTAATTCTGTTAACATCTTAATAAGGGCGTTTTTAATAACGACAAATCATGCTTTATAAAAACACTTAAAATGACCTGTGATTGCATTTAAACATATTTTGTAATTTTTTAGAAAACTGCTATATGTTAGACAGTGCTTTTTATTAACCGAATTCGGGTAGTTGAACTTAATTAAAAATGAGATTTAAATTATTTAATTAAAAATGGAATATATAATTAAAAATTTTTTTTATAATAAGGAGCAACGTTTTGTGTTACAGTTACACAAACGGAAAATAAACGCGATATTCGTTAATTTTGAAAAAGTAACGAATGGCGTTTCTTTTTCTATAATGACATTACTTTCATAGACTACCTTACATCACTAATTTTATATGTTCAGGAAAAAAAAATGGTTAACACTTTGGCATTTTTATATCCCTCCCTCTAAATTAATGCGAATATTACTCTATAAGTTTTTTACTCATTCTCCTAAAAAAAATTTATACCACTATCACTCCTACCACTAAGTTAGAAGAAAAGGAAAATCAAAATTAGCAGCATAAACATTATCCTGTTCCCTTCCACCCCTTTTTTCAGTAAGTAGAGCTGTAAACAATTGATTATAAATAAGCATATAGACATGGAAAGTACTAAAAATCGGTTGAAAAAATATCCCCTAATTTTTGGCTCCACTTGAATATAGATAAACACGGGTATGGCCCTTTAAAGGTTTTCAAGGTATTAACCTCTAAAAATGATCTCATTAAAAGAGATTTTGGTTAATTTCCTTTCCTTTCCTTTATTTTACTTTAATTATTTTTTTTTCATTATCTATTTTCATTTAAATAAATACCCTTACTTTTTAGTGGATCTATGATTTATCTTTAAATAAAGTTTTTTTTTCAAGATTTTTGAAAAACCCTCTAAATATTTTTTCAATACTGATCTATCTCATTCCTTATGGCCTCCACATTTTTAGCCGTTCCACTAAAGAAGACAAAAGAAGTCGATGTAACAAATTCTCTTAAAAACTTTATTTCATCCAATATCAGTACAATTGACAATCCAGAAGATTGTACACATGAAATTGGAGAATTCAACAAACTAAGGAATAATGCTGTTTGCAGGAATTTAGATAAAAATGAGGGCTCTTTAGAAATTCTCTACAGGTATATTTTATGCTCTTAAGTTTTTTGCATTTATTATATTTGACAGTTGGGTTTTTTGATAATTTAAAATAATCTACATTTTAGATTTTTAACATGATTATTTTGTAGGTAGACTGCCCAAAATTTTCTTTCATAAATAACTTTATTATCCATAGTAATTTTATATTTATGTATATATTAATATTTATATGATCACAAATTATTAAAATCACATGATACAATTATAATAGTTAGTTCTTCAATATTGTCAAATTCTATATATGATTATATGATAACTTTGAGTTAAATCTTTATTTTTAAACTTTTTATATAAATAAATATATGTAAAGGTATTATGATCAACTGGATGTTATGGACACGAAAATGCCATTTGATGAAACACATGTAATTTCTACATTAAATATATTTCATATCAGTCAAATTTAAGTATGTTTTGTTTCCCAAAATTTTAACTTAGTGATGTTTGACTAGTTATTTAAAATATTTGTGTGAATTATTATAGTTATATTTTATATCATTCTGAGTTGTATACATTTAAAAAAAACCTTTAGGTCCCACAAGCTTTTAAGTGGAAATCAGCTTTTGAATCATCATCTCTTTTCAATTTCAAATCATCCCTAAGTATATCACACAATTATATATATACATATTATATATATTTATATGCTCTGAATTCAATAACACACAATAATGGATGCAAAATAAGAATCTGTTTCAATTAAATTGGCTTAAAATGATAGAGCTCATTTATTTTTATAATTGTAAAATATATAAATTGTCATAAATAACTGATTTATTAAAGAAAACCTTCAGAATAAGTCTGATATTTCCCTTCCCAAATATAAATAATCAGAGATGCACTTAGGCCATAACTGAATTATAAAAAAAGATAAAAATTTATGAGAGAAAACATATGGTGAAAAAGAAGCATATAAATCCTTTTTTTTGGAGAATAAGGAGTTTTGTGGAAAGTGGCAAAAAAAAATTGTGGCAAATGAAGAAAAAACAAATATGAAATTAAGCAGTATTTATTCTTCTTTTAAATTTTTTTTTTCTTTCACCTTTATATTTGATTCATTAAATTGAATATGGAATTTGACATACCTTCTTCCTGGTGAGGTATGAATAAAATTTATTAATATAATTAATCATGATATCTTACACTCTCCAAAGCTTGATTTGTAAAATGTTCATCATATCTATATACCTTTTATTTTTTTTAGCAAGATATCTAAATTCTATCACATGCTAAATTTTTGATTTTTTTTTAAAAAATAGCCAACATAATAAAAAAATAATTTGAATATTAAATATGATGGTTTTATAAAATTTAGCCAAATTAATTGCTTTTATAAATAAGAATATTTCTCATATTATATGACCTCACTCATCGACTTATTTATACCACAAGGAGGTAACTTCTAAGCTCAACCTCAATTTTCAGAATGGAATTGGCCAAAGTTAAGTGATTTAGCAAACCTAATTATGAGCAAGATCTTTTAATTGAGGTAGAAAATGGATAATTTTGATAATACTATTTTCATGTGAATGAAAGGGAGTTGGAATGACTAAATATCAAATTGTTTTAAACCAATGTTAAATGATAAAAAAACATGATTTAAATCAATTTTCTTTTTTATTGGCATTTTTTTTTAAAAAATAAATACCAGTTACCTCTTTTTTAGTGTTGTTAAAAGTAACTAGTTACAAGTTTCAAAAGTAACTGTTACATTGCAAAATATTTTAAAAATTATTTATAAAACTAACTCGTCATTATTCAATATATATATTTTTTTATTGTCAAAATAGGGATTTGCAAATTTTAATCAGAGTAATTTATATGAAATGCAATTTAAATCAGGGCTTCGAGCCAAATATGAACCCTGAGCTTTGAACCCGGTGCATTTTTTGTAAAATCGAACCTTGGGGGGTCAGGTTACTAAAGTTTTTTTTTTAGTTTGCCGAGGCTTTGCAGGCGGGTTTAGCCCAAAATTTTTTTATCTTGCAGCTTTTCCAATATAAAGTCCAAAGTACTCTTTAGTCCACAATATTGCTCGCAACTGGTAAAATTTCACAGAGAAACGGAATATTTAATACGCACATGAATATAATTTGTCTATCTTGCAAAGCTCGCTTGGTTTAATCAATACAAAAATAAATATTCTTTATAAGAACGCCTTCTCATTGATACTCAGTTTTATATTATAATAACCTTTATCCTTTTTTTTTTAAATGTAGATGTTGAAATTTCAAAATCTAGTAACAATGGAAAATTCATTCTACCCATATATATCTATTTTATTTATTCCAAAAAAAAAAGGAAAAATTCATTTTTTGTAGAAAACATCTTGATGATGTTTAAAAAACGGCTAACCCAATAATTTTAATCACTAAAAAAATATTACACGAGGCTTGAAATTTAGCTCAAATATGGCAGAAAGATTTGGACGAGATTTGCTTAAATAATTATTTTTTTGACTTAAAATTTTGGGTCAGCCGTTTTTAAAAATCGAATAACATTTATAACCCATATCATATCAAGACTTGTTTTGATATTGAATCCCTTTAAACCCAATTTTAAATAAATTTTCAGTTTGAGCTTATTTACTGACACCTGTTGTGCCGTAACACTTTTCGACATGAAGCCGAATATTTTTGTTAAATTCATCCTACCGGGCTCAAACGATCGGACTCGTTCGGAATATATAATCGCAAAAAAATTCGGCATATCCATAAACCCGAATAACGAAATTCGCTAGTCGACATATTTTATCCCCGGATTAAATCCTTCGAATGTGTCTGTCCGTTCGAACGGGCTAATCAAATCGCTTTGTTTAAAAATTTAATAAAAAAAACAAAAAAAAAGCTATGGTGAATGGTCAATTCGAGAAAGCGTGCGTACTTTTCAATATAGGCGCGATGCAGAGCCAGGTGGCATGTTCCCAAAATCTGGACCAGGACAACAACCTAAAAACGGCCGTCAAATATTTCCAAGTTTCTCTTAAGAACTGCGCTCAGAAACAATTTTTTTTTCTTTAAAAAAAAATTCTAAAATTAATTAAATTATTGTTTTCGCCAAAATATTATTATAATAAGCCTGGAGATTTTGTTTCGAGGAAGGATAGGCATCTACTTGCCAAATCCCGAGGCTTACTCGATATTATTTTGGGCTAGAATTTTAATCTGGCCGTTTAACAACACTAAATGGCATCCTATGTTTAATTTTTTTTTTAATTACATTTTTGGACGCGTAGGCCTATTTATTTATGTTCGTTAAAGTTTCGAAAGTTTGTGAATTTAATTTTTTTTCTCTCTCGATGTTTTGGACACATAAACAGCCTAAAAGGATAAAAAAAAAATAAATATATTTTCCGAAACCTAATTATTATTTTTTTTGAAAAAATGAATAAATTCCAGATATCTAGCGGTACCTTCAATTATCTCAAGGATCAGTATATCTCAAACGGTAAAGTTCAGAACGAATCGCTGACGCCGGATCTCTCGATCGAATGTTTAAGCGGTCTCTCCGCGCTTATGCTGGCTCAGGGCCAAGAAATATTCCTTAAAAAGGCCAAAGATGGTAAGGCTACTTTATTTTTTATTTTATTTTTTCTTAAAGATTATTGTAAATTTATTCGATTCATGATGGTTCATCAAAAATCGTTAGAAGGGCAACATTCTTTACCGAACATTATTTAAAATATCATCCATCCAATAATAATGAAAGAATGAATTAAGATGAATAGATTACGTTGGATAATTATATTCATTATACATTGATCGTTTTATGAGATTTTTTTACTATTATTTTTAATGATGAGTTTTCCATAGTGACATTTATAAGATCATTTTATTGTTTTCCCAAGCTATCTAGATAATTGATCTTAAAATACCTGCATTCATATATCAAGAACAGCTGTTATTACCTTTGTTGGAAATTTTCTTTATCCTTTTGGTTCAATACGAAGGCTTGAAATCTTCATTCTTTAAAATAAATATTCTATAAACCTATACCAAAAATAAATACTCATAAATTTATTCAATATTTATTATATTATCATATTATGGAATTTTTTGTGTATAATAAATAAAAAAATATAGACAATAAGAAACCTTTGATTCTGGCCAAATTAGCTCAACAATGCGCTGACCTCTACAGCGAAGCCTTGAAATTTATGAACTCCCCCAACTTAAAGGGGTTCTGGGAAAAGGTTTTTTTTTCTTTAAAACTTATAATTAATATGAGATGACATATACATAGGATCGTATGAGAAGTAGTTAGTGAATAGATAGAAAGATTCTCGTGATCCAATAAAAAAACCCTTGGGGTCTGATCAAAAAATTTATTGGTTGAGTTATAGAGCCATGTTAAGAAGAATACAAAACAATTGAGAAAGATCTGTAAGAAAAATTGTTTATAATTTAATCACCATTTTGAAGAAAAGTGGACTGGTAACGAAGCAATAATTTTGCATTGAAATTCACATCTACCCATTATAGTGTCGTAAAACGGTTTAATTTTTAAAAAAACGGTTTAGCCAAAATTTATGCAAGACTGGATATTTTGCTCATATATGCAAAAGTTTGGTCATCTATTAGCCAAATCTCTAGGCTTAAATCATATTATTTTGACTAAATCGAGCCCGTTTTACAAGACTACACCCCATATTATGCATTTAATGACCGCACCTCCAAAACAACCGAAATATATATTTTTTTTAAATACAAATAAAAATTTTTTTTTTCAAGGATTGGATACCGACTGTCACTTGCAAACAAAGCTTTCTCACAGCTTTAGCTCAATACTTCATGATGCAGGAAGCCAAGAACGAAAAGAAATTTGGCGAAGAACTCAGCCGAATTAGTGTTAGTGATTCGTTCATTCATAAATATATTTTTTTTACAGAGTTTTTGCAAAAATCGTTTATGGTTGAAATCTCAAATTTAGAAAAAAATCTCTAAGACCATACCTGTCTAAGGTCGGCTTAATACTTAATAGCCGTCTTTTAAGTACTGGCTAAATAACCAAAAAAAAAGCAAAAGAAAAAATTTAGAAAATAAAATAAAGAAAATATTAAGAAAACACAAATTAATAAAGAAAAAAAAACGAGAATAAAACACGAAAAAATAGCAATACCACCAATTACTTAAAATAAACCAAAATAGAATGCCCTTCGATCAAATACTCTTTATCCCTACACTAAAAAGCAATTAAGTTACAAATTAAGCCAACCTAGGATAATGGTCTAAAGGTTATAGAAAAAGCTAAGAAAAATATATACCCTTACTTGAAATCCCTTCCTACACTCAAATTACAATTTAAGGACAACTAACTCAACTAGAATCCCTTCTAAGAATTTCAGAACAGTTATTTTGTACAACACGATACTTTTATTATAATATTTTATTAATACAAAATGTCTTCAAACAAAGCTAATAATTTTACAATAATAATATATTCGGAACAAATTCCATATTTAATAATATACACAAAAAATAAATAATCTCAATTTTATTCGAACACCAAAAAAACATTTTTTATATCACGTGTTCTTTAATATTAATTATAATCCAATCAACCTTATTTATTTTGGTTGATTGGCATTATGCAAAATTACTATAAATTCGTGTATAAAAATACGACAGTTATCTTTCTCAAAAATTTTTTAGACAAAGAAAAAAATTATTTGTCGATTTTTACAGCTGTACTTATTTTATTATATCTAGGATGTCTATATACCCCTTAGCAAAAAATATATTTTTATTCAATCAAAAATTGACATCCTTTTTTGTTACTGGAGTTTTTTTTTGGACATTTTATATTTAAAATTTTGAGAAAATGAACAAATTAAATTCCTCCCCCCCCCCTCTTTTTCATTCGCAATGTAAAATTAAACAAACTAAATAACATAATGAATAAAGTATGCCTTGGATAGCCTAAAACAAGCCCAGAAACAAGCGCCCACCTCCCAATACATGAACTCTATCCTGGAAAAGTTTTACTCGGACCCGGACCTCCTCCGAGCGATGGAGGTCGCCCACCAGAAATCGCTCAAAGAAAACGATTTTATTTACCACGAGAGGATCTTGAGGCCGGGGGAGCTCGCGCCAATTCAAAAAGCCGTCATTGCCAAACCCATAGAACCCACTTTCCCGCTATCCGGAAAAACGGAGTTTAGAGGTTTCATTTTTAAAAGAGGGTTTTCTTCTAATTATACATATCAACCTTGACTTTACCCGATTCAATTTGTCGGTTATATATATGACTCATTATATCCCTTGTTACCCCGGCCCGGCAATAATACATTTAAATAATCTTAAGAAAGTTTTTGTTGCCGAGAATTAGATTTGACATAATTATTCCATATTTTTAATAGTTTCTTTCTTGTGAAGCAAATTTAATTTAAATGATTTATTATGTAACAAATTAAATGATTTTTTATGTAACAAAAATAACTTGAGAGAAAACTTTTTATTTTAGTTAGCTTGTACAAACAAAAAGATATATAGAATGCGATTTTAATTCACCGTTTTAACAGGTCGATCTAATATAAATATTATTAACCGAGATTAATGTATCATATATGGTAACCAATTACATAATAATGCCTAGACTGACAATGTATTCGTTAAAAGTGTACATCAATGAAAACAGCTGTGGACGCCATTTTGATTACCCATATCATTATTAAAAATTTTAGATGGGAGGCCAATTTATTCCTATGTCTGATGCGAACTTTATTAAAGAATTGCCTGATCATCGAGTTAATAAGGAAGCAAGTTATCAATTTAATAGTAGTTTTTAACATGAGAATAATTAATATATGGGTTACCAAAATGGTGTATCCAGCTGATTTGCATTCAACGATACTTTCAGATGCATTATTATAAATGCATCTAGTCTAGGTATTATTATATGTCATTGATGATAACATAGTAACATTACGGGAAAGGTGCTTAACTAGGGGAATATAATAAACCAATAATAATAATTGATAAGATATAAATAATTACAAACCAATTTATTTTTTAAATTATTCTGATATCGTCTTTATTTGGATCAAATAAATAATTTGATCTAATCACTCCCATTTTAATGGGGGAGGGGGGGGGGGAGTAGCCAAAAATAGATGATCACGCTTTCACTATTTATTTTTTAAAGAGGCCCGTATATTATTTAATCGACAGATGGGACCATAGTCACCACTATTTTTAAAACCGATACCCCATAACTAAAAAAATAAATAAATATTATCTAACCATCACCTGTCTCTTACAGATTAAACACTCCGTTTCCGGTCTCCTACCATACACGAGTACCCAAATGGCCGCTGCCATTTTAATATAAAAAATGATATAGCCACGTGATCCATTATTTTTTGACCATTTCCGGAAACGTGATACTTATTCCGTGTTTTAACAATTTTTTAAAAAAATAAATTATTATTATTACGATAAGATTTGTTCCAGAAAATAGTACCCATACCCGTGAATCAAGCCTTGGTCGTTTACGAGACACGGAAATCGGATTTGGTGAATACCAACATCTCCAAATTGCGTCAAGCTACCCAAAATTTGAACGGGTAATTATTCATTTTTATTTATTTATTTATTTTTTTTTGTTCTTGATTTGTTTGTCCAAAACGATTTTAATTTCTTATTGGCAAAAAAAATAGCCGCGACGATCCTACATGCGGTAATGGCTCATTACCGGATCTATTCAAAAAAAAATAAAAATGCGAATACGTATTTCCGATAATTTTGTTTTGGACGAATAATAAAATTTTAATCGTTCGTATTCTATTCGGGTAATTTACGAATCGATTACTTATAATATAATTTATCTTTCATATTCTATTCGGGAAATTACGAATAGAAAACGAATTCGAATACGAATAATAGAATTTATCGTTCCTATTCTATTCATGTAATTTACGAATCGAATATAGATAATGCATTATATTTGATTTATAATCGTTTTTGTAGGCGCACCTCGTTAACTAACAACAGAATAAATTTTGTTGTTGGTTAGATTATCTATTAGAACCTTACCTGTCATGTCCGAACGATCAAACTCCTAGTATATATATATCGTTCGAACTTTCGGACCTCGGCAAAATTATAAATTATTTTATTTTTTCCCTTAAATGCTTTTGAAAAAGCACCCAATTTTTTTAAAATTATTTTTTTCTGGTAAGGCGCCTTATAAATTTCCCGCATTTCTTTGAAACATATTATATGTACCTCTTTTTTTCCCTGGACGGACTCCAATATATGAGATTATTTTTTTGTGACTAAAGGCTATACCCTGAATATATTTTAAAATTTTAAAAAACTTTCGTAACTTTATAATGAAACACATTCAAAATCTTTCATTAAATTTTTTTCATTAAGAACCATGAAATTTATCCTACCAAATTATTTGAATACTTGCAGTTTAATTTAAATACATTTTGATTAATATAACTGCCTATTTTTTTTTTATTGTAATTGGAAAAATGGATTAATTACTGTTTAATTTATTATCGCGAAAATTTCACAACTCCATAAACTTTGAGCACTAAAATTTATCACAATTTTATAATTTCTCGGACTTATTAAAATTTCGCAAATTCGAAAAAAAAAATGATTTAGGCCATTATTTTATTTTTACAATTAAAAATAACTTATTTCATTTTTTTTTCGTTTGAAGTTACGAAAGTTTATCGATTATATTTTTGATATTTAGGACACAGCCTATAAGTTAGATTGGGAAACGGACGATAAAAAGGTTTTTTCGGATCTATTTAAACTCTGAAAAATAAGTTCAATATATGGTCATCTTTATCTATCCTATCTGAATAATCTCATATCTAAATTTAAGCTAATAAAATAAAATGCCCAATTTCATCCCCACGATAAAATCAACATTATATTCTATCCTTTTCTTCTTCTTTTTTTTAATTAATTTCGGACAAAAGAAATGTGAATGATTATAATCTATCAATAATTTTTTATTTTTTTTTAAAGGATAATTTCTCTAAAATAAAAGTCTAATTTAGATTATTTTTTTTGGTGGAGAATGTGAGTGACTGGTACGATTGGCAAATGCCAATTTTATTTTACGATACCACGTTAATCCCCAAAACGTGATTCACTTTTGGGCGCTGTTATTTATCAATAAAATTGACTAAAATATAAAGGAAAAACGTATAAGGCTCAAGCCTGGATCCTATCTAATTTTTAACCCAACCTTATGGCTCGCATTAATTAGGGCTGATTGACTTATAAAAAGCTCTGATTGATTTGTGTAAGTTTCATCAAAAAAAATTATAACATATTTTTCGATATTCGCTCTCTTCCGAAAAAAAAGGGAATCACGAAAAAAAAATTGAGATCTAGCCTAGGATATTTATTTTTAAAAAATCATAATAAAAATATTAAATCAAGGTTTTTGGTAGCGTTGAATCTTCCCGCCTCATTGGAAGATATAGTTGCCCCGGACCTCCCCGGCCGGGCCGGATCCAAAGCTGCTAAGGAATTCAAAAAGATTCCCAAATCATTGCTCACCAAGAGCAACGCCATCAAAAAGTTGGGAGGGATGAGCGCGTGTACCCTAACCATGGACAATTTGCCACAGTTGCTTTCCCGGAACAAAGAAATACTCATTGAAGTTTTTTCCCCATTTACCTACTTAATACATATTTATTAGTTTAGTAGTTTATAACATTATTGCTTACCAAAAGGTAAAGTATAAATGTAAAGTAAAGTTATATTTAAAAAATAAATAAATAATCTAAATAGGCTATCCGTATCCTGGACGAAGAGAAGGCCTCCGATATTCAACTGAAAACCCAATTTGGTGCTAGGTGGGTGCGAACTCCGTCCGAAAAACTTCAAGCGCCGCTGAGGGAAGAATCGCGCAAATATAATCAGTACGTAACGCGCTTAAACCTATCGCGAATCTTTCATTTCCGTTTTTTTTATCTCTCTCATTCTTTCAATTTAAAGTAGAGCTCAACGATAAGATCTTCAATGAGCATTTGAAGATTTTTTTTTTATCGCCTCAGAATTTTGAGCGAAAATCTTTTGAGGTTCAACAAAAAGGAAGATTTTTTTTTTTATCTAAAAATCATCAAAGATTAGGTTTTATCAAAAATCTTGCTTACATTTTTTTTGTAGAGTTTGCGAAGCTCTGATTTAAAGGTAAGAAAAAATTTGCTAAAATATATATTTTTTAAAAAAAATGATAGGATTATAGAAGCAGCTATCCAAGCCGATGAGATCGTCAAGAGTAAATTCGAACAGCATAGGAATATCATGGAATTATTATGCGGTCCTGAGGTTTAAAAATCATTACTTATTGTACTCTTTCTAGATGATTTCATTGTTCCATTTTTTTCCCTCCATTTTGAAATTTTCATTTTTTTCTACGCTTTTCTTCCCTCCATCTCCATTTTACTTTTTTTTCTCCTTCCATTTACGGAAAGAAGTGGAATCAGCTGGAATTATCTGCACTCCTACGTAATTTACCTTTCAATATATCGTCTATTTTGAAATATTTTATTCCTGTAAAAGTTATGAATATTGTTATCTCTGATTCCCATTACAATGCAAACTGCTGGGTTTTTAAACAGATCGCCGCAGCTTTGAATTCACTATAACTTTTTTTGGGCTTGACATGTGTTTAATGTTTGTATTTGACAAGAGATATTGGCTTAATCGCTTTTAATTGACCCAGGGCCCTAATCGAACTCAAAGTTAATAATATAATTAAATTTGCATAATTAGACCGAACTAGCCAAATCCATACCATCTAGCATAGGTGCTCTAAGCAGTGACCTGCCTGTCATCAAGGAACTCAAGGAGTTAATGGAAAAGGTAGAGACGATCAAGGCCGAACGTCAAACGATAGAGTTCGAATTTCAGCACAAAACCTCGGATGCCCAAAACAGCTCCGACATTATAAGTTTTTCCTATTCTAATCTTTATTCTATTTTTATTTGTCCCTTTTTTTCTTTCAAAAATTTTTTCTTCAATCGTTTGAAAAAATTATTATCAAATTTTTTTAAAAAAAATATTTTACAGATCAAAAATTTATGAAGGTTTACTCCACCCAGGGAAAAATAAACGAAAAAGATATTTCGGACGACATATTGCGCAAAACGTTTGGCGAATTGGAACAACAGGCGCTTTCTAGCATCAGGAGTCAAGACGATTTGATGGAACTGATTCAAGTTTTATAGAAGAAGAAAAACAAAATTGATTATTTGGTGTCAACATAGGGCATAATCTCGAATGATTACTAAATTTTGCTAAAACGCATCTTTTCGCTCATAATTTTTTATTTTAATGTTCGTTTCGAGGTTGCCAACATGATCTTCGTACAGGAAAAAAGCAAAGATCCCAGCTTCGACGCCAAAAGGAGGGACAAATTTTTGCAAGAACTCGCTTCCGCCTACGATACCTTCATGGAGATTTGCGCGAATTTGAAAGAAGGGAGCAAGGTTTACATTCACAAAAATTTATTTCTTTTTGGTTCAAGTGCTCATCTATTCTAGATAAAATTATTATCATTTTCTCATTTTATTTAATTATGCAGGCGCACTTAATTTTATTCTTTTGATGAAAAGTGGTTTAAAGTAGTTTGCTCCCCAAAATGATTTCTTCTCCGAAACTACTTTTTAAACGCCGATCCAGTCTTATAGTTACTATAACCAGCTGATATCGACCTGATAACGTGGAATGAAAAATGTCTGCAATGGAATTTGACAACCCAAAAACTATATGAATTAAATTTAGCCTTCATTTTATATATATCTGATCCGATACTTCAATTATCGAATTACAAAAATGAATGAATGATCGGTCCAATCCTATCCTTAAATTTTAATTCAGTTATACATCGATCCATATTAAACGAAACACCTAAATATCATAACTGAATACTAAAATAAAACACATTAAGATTTTTGCATTTGATACTAACTTATTTCCCGCTAAATTCTTTACACCCCCCCCCCCCCCCACATCCCTCCTCTAATATAGTTTTACAATGACCTGACCCCGATCCTTCTGAAATTCCAGAACAAGTGCAGCGATCTGTGCTTCGCCCGCAAAACGGAAAGGGATGAGCTTATAAAGGATATGCAGGATAACATTGTGAGCCAGCCAGCCCATAGTTATGTTTCTCCCTATGGCACCGATTCTGGCACAAATATCAATATCCCTAAAGGTTAGCACGTTCATTATATATGCTTTACCCTAGAGAAGTATAATAAAATAATAAGGAATTTTAACTGCATTTATTCTTATATTTTTGTTTAGGACCACCAAGACCTCCACCTCCAGCTTTTACGGGGAACCCTAACCCTATTCAAACAAGTTTGCGCTTTTAATGAAATATATTTGATATAAATGATATTTTTGATCTGCAATATATTTCAGAGATCTATCAGGGCCAGGCCGTATATTTTAAACCAAATATTTTTAAATCGCCATTATTAGCTATAAAAATCAAAAATATATATGATATATTTTTAAAAAATCCGGGCCGGGCCTTGCAAATGGTACCTCTGCAGGTCTCTGATATATATTATATTATATTATACTAACCTTTATACGCAATATATCTTTTTAAGTTATACCTTTTATATTTCTCATATTTTTCTTATTATTTATTCCACTATATATTACCCTGTCTGCACGTTTTTAATAATAATATTTTTTTTGAATATAAATCGCAATTTCTCCATTTTGTTGTCAAAATCAAATACCTGGTAACAAGTGCCATTTTTACTTTTGGCCGAAATTGAGTCCAGGAGTTCAATATTTTTATCTATTTACACGTGAATTATTTATTTTTACTCATAATTATAGAATGAAAGAAAAAATAAATAAATTTCCATATGCCACGTATGTACTTATAGTTGGGTAATGGCTAAGTAGAAATCCCATTGAGACAGGACTTAATTATTTTTATCTTTCTTCAAACTTAAGCTATATTTTAAAAGGATCTAAAGCTGAGGTGAACGTTCTTTGCTAAAAAAAAAATAGGGTTTGCCGCGCCAGTAGATCATTACTCAACTATAGGTTATATCTTTGAATAATAGGAATCTATTACAAGCGGATTTTGTATTTTTTCTCTACGAGTCTCATTTTTTTACTATTATTTTTAATTTATAAATAAATAAGGTCAAGCCCCTAATTTTTATTCCGGCAATTTTCAACCCATTCAACCTCAACAGGCTAACCAGCTTAACATGATGCCTCTCATGCCTTCCGCCTACAATCCCTACATGAATTATTATCAGCAGCAAACGTACCCCGTCAATTATCGTAATTAAAATCGCAATTTATTTTACATATAGTATATATATATATATGTTAGCGTCAATGTGATTTTTTTCCGGCGACGTGTTATTTTTACAACTTTAATTCATTTTTTGAACGCTTTTTTAAATATTTGAATATCGGATTTTACCGGAAATATGTTCTATCATGTTTGGAATACCTATCTTATGAAATGTTGTAGACAAATTTGATGCAAACCTTTGAATCATTTATAATTTATATGAAAAATATATGGGAAAATTTAATATAAATTATATTAAGTTTAAAAGTTCGTGAAAAAATTGTCTGAAATTCATAGGGTTAGATATTCCAAACATGACGGCATACATTTCCGGTGAAAATCAGATTTTTAAATCTTTTAACGTGCTTAAAAAATAATTTAAAATTGAAAAAACCACACATTGCCGGAAAAAAACACATTGAGACGCTAACACATGTCGGCTTAGTATTATAGTGTTCTATGCCACTTTTCTTCTCGTTTCTCATTCTCACATTGTTGTGAATTATTTTAAAATTATATTTTATCAAATATTTATTATTTAAAAATAAATTTTGAATATAATTCAGTGATGAACCCATATAATTTGTAAATTTAATTTTTTTTAATATAAATGATTATTATTATTTCTTTCATATTTACTATATTTATTCATTTTTTTTTTGTAAATTACTATATTAAAACGTAATCTATTAAATCAGTATCGTGGCTATCCTTTATTATAGGTGTGTGTCATAAACATTTGCATTATTTCTTGAAATTTATACGAATAGAATATATAAATTAAAGTGTAGTTTTAAAAGTTCTTGGTATCAAAAACATATATCTCCCAAAGGATAAACAATTGTCAAATAATTATAATACCACGAATATATCCCTACAAATCACAATTTCTAACAAAACAAAGAAAGGAGATCATGTGATCGTGAAGAATAATATGATAATCCATTTTTTTTTTATTTACGAAAAATATATTTTAAAATAATTTAGTTAAATTTTGTAGAACACTTAAAATAAACCGATTTTGATCTTAATATTTACGAAAAAAATATATTCCAAAATAATTTTTTATTAAGTTTTTTCTCCTTTACATATATATATAATTACATTATTATTATTTACGCAAGAAAATAAAATCAATATTATAAAAATAATATAAACAACATTAATGTTACAATAAGAATAAAAAAAATGCGAACTTAACGGCGTACAAAAATAATAAAAAGAAACATATATGCTTCTTATTACAACACGTCCTCCCAAAAAAAAACTGTTGTTTACTCGTTTTATCTTGAATGTGTCCCACTTACTCTTGCTCTAACAACAACTCCTCCAGGTCTTCCATTATAGACTCTGTTCCTCGTCGCTCATCCATTGCTCCTTCCATCGGGTATAACTGGAACCGGACATACACTCACTGGGGTATCGCTTGTGATCGCCAATACCGGCCGCTTCTCTGTATTCATTTCCTTTCGTCTGGTCAAATCCATCGTATTGAGACAGACAACTTCTTTTATTGAACTTGAACATGGATTATCTCAAACATTTCCCTCAGCTGAACAACGTCCCGTCATTTCCTTTCTGCACATCACATGCGAATTCCTCCATAATGGAAACGGAATGTGATCTTGCATGGACAACCGAGCTTGAGTTTTTCCTCGTTCCCTAGAACCGAAAGTCGTTACTGTTGGACAATGTCTCGAAATGTGTCCAACACCACCACATCCATAACACGCCATCGGTCCTGCGTTTCTCCTGCTAAATATTCTTCTCGATTCCTGAATCGTCTCCCTCCGTTCATCTTCCCCCATTCCATTTACCAATGTAGCACCCTGTTGCAACTTCCATTTGTCATTCCATACCACACCCATTATACTATCGGTCTTTACCAAGTTTACCTACATTATTATCACTCTTCGTCTTAATATACCAGGTCTCCATTACAAGTTTCAATTTAATTTTGTTTTATTGTTTATTTCTATTCCGTATTTTATTTAATGCTTACAAATTCAATTAAAAAATTTTTTTTAATCGGGTTAACTACAAAAAAAAATTTTAATTTTTTTACACAAATAACCTAATTTTCCATAATACTAAATATTTCAAATTTCTTTTTTTTTTAATTACACTTTTTTTTCTACATACTCCAAATTTTATTTTTCTATAGCTTCCACAACACCAACTGCCTATTATTCCATAAATTCTATTTTTTTTAACTATTCTCTACTGTTTAATTTATTACTTCTTTTTTCAAAAAAAACATTACCGTTCCAATTAATACGCATATTATATTCCCCACAAGGTACACCAAAATATTTTTAAAAAAAATAATAATTCCATAACCTTGCCTTCAAAACATTATGTTTAACCTCATTTTATTTTTTTTTATATTCCAACACTACAACATACACAAATTACTGCCCCATTTTTATTTTTACAAAGAAAAATCAAATATTCCTTTCACAAATAATTACCCACAAATGTTATGCGGTATTTTAACGCAAAATCATTTTTATTTAATTACTTAATGCCTTCCCTATTTATGGGAAACATAACTTTGCTTTGTGTTTCCTTCAATTTCGTTCTTCCTTTATTTAACCATTACCCAACACATTCCATATCAAATTTCCGCGATTTTAATTAAATCCGGGATTTATACATTTAACCAGATACGTTATTGCTACCTTGGTCAGTATACATATACATATATGGCTGACAAAAACGCACGTATTAACTATCCCCTCTTACGCCACTATACTACCGTATCATTTCAATTAACCTATTATATCTTTAATATAACTTTTATGTCCATATTATCCAAAAAAAAAATTCCCAATACTTTCCTACATAATAATAATTTTTTTTTTTACCACTCTCTCTTTACACAATTTCTATATGAACCTCTTCCGTAATTGATCTCTGTGTCAGATACCTTCACTGTTATCATCAAACTTTACCCTATTTAATTTGTTTCCCAAAGTTTCTATTACTACACCTTTCTCCCATTTTTTCGAACTTCCATATAATCTAATCCATACTAATTGTCCTATAGTATATTCCAATGCCCTTCTATCGATATCCTCTATAATTACACCTGTTTTACAAGGTACTAACATATCCAAAAACATTCTTACCTTCCGGCCTATCATTTTTTTCTGGCGGAGGCAAACCATCTTTATCCATCGCATCATTATAATACAAATTCTTCACCCATATTTTTCCTTTTCCATTTTTGTCTTCTTCAACCATCCTTTAACCGTCGCTACCATCCGTTCCGCCTGTCCATTGGAACTGGGATGATACGGTGGCGCTAACACATGGTATACACCCGTTTTCTCACAGAACCTCTTGAATTCTTCACCGATAAAAGCTGGTCCACCATCCTATACCACAATTTTCTGAATACCAAACTTCGACCATACTTTCTTAAAATGTTTAATCACAATATTCGCCGTTAACCCATGAATTTCTTCAAATTCTATCCATTTGGAGAACGCATTTACACTTAATATATACTTTTCGAAAAAATCAACATGAAAAAAAAAAGAAATTTGAAATATTTAGTATTTGGGAAATTAAGTTGTTGTTTGTGTAATTTTTTGTAGTTAGCCCGATTAAAAAAAAAATTTTTGTTCTTACGATAATTTTTTTCCCGAATTTGGAATAGAATTAAACAATAAAACAAAATTAAATTGAAACTTGTAATGGAGACCTGGTATATTAATACGAAGAGTGATATGATGATGGATGTGAACTTGGTAAAGACCGATAGTATAATGGGTGTGGTATGGAATGACAAATGGAAGTTGCAACAGGGTGCTACATTGGTAAATGGAATGGTGGAAGATAAACGGAGGGAGACGATTCAGGAATCGAGAAGAATATTTAGCAGGAGAAACGCAGGACCGATAGCGTGTTATGCACATTCAAGACATTGTCCAACAGTAACGTCTTTCGGTTCTAGGGAACGAGGAAAAACTCAAGCTCGGTTGTTCATGCAAGATCACATTCCGTTTCCATTATGGAGGAATTCGCATGTGATGTGCAGAAAGGAAATGACGGGACGTTGTTCGGCTGAGGGAAATGTTTGAGATAATCCATGTTCAAGTTCGGTAAAAGAAGATGGCTGTCTCAATACGATGGGTTTGACCAGACGAAAGGAAATGAATACAGAGAAGCGGCCGGTATTGGCGATCACAAGCGATACCCCAGTGAGTGTATGTTCGGTGCCAGTTATACCCGATGGAAGGAGCAATCAATGAGCGACGAGGAACGGAGTCTATAGTGGAAGACCTGGAGACGTTGTTGTTAGAGCAAGAGTAAGTGGGACACATTCAAGATAATACGAGTAAACAAGAGTTATTTGGGGAGGACGTGTTGTTAAGAAGCATATATGTTTATTTTTATTATTTTTATATGCCGTAGGTCGCATTTTTTTATTCTTATTGTAACATTAATGTTGTTTAATTTTTTTTTGTTGCAATATTTTTTTTATTATTTTTATATAATATTGATTTTATTTTCTTGCGTAATTGAAAAAACTTAATAAAAAATTATTTTGGAAAATATTTTTATGGTGAGAATTCGAATCCTAGAAAGAAAAACAAAATAATTTCTCGAAATAGTGTAACAAAAATACTCTTTCTTTTCAATATCTACCCTTTCGTAATTATTATTTTTTTTATATATCTAGCATATGCGCCAAACCCAATTCTCCCGTATCCCGCCATGCAAACAAATTTTCCTTCCGCTCCGCCATCTAATCAGTTTCCACCTTTACAGCAACAGCATCAACAACAACCCAATCAACATAATTATTGATTTGGTTATATCGCCTTTTCTAAATTATTTTATTTTCATACAGAAAAATCATTTTAATCTAGTAACTCCCTATCTCCAATTACCAATAGATTTTATTTTCTCACGTGATAAAGGCTTTTATTTTTATTATTCATTTTTCAAATTTGCGCAAAAAAAAATTATATTTATTCAATTTAAATATAATTTTTAGAAAATTTAAATTTTTATCTCTCTCGTAAAAAAAAAGAATTTCTTCAAATTATCTTACAGTCGCAGACGATATATTCCACATTCCAAATTCGTATAATTCTATGATTTCATTTTATAAATTTTTTTTTAAAGGTCCGCAGCTGATTCTATTATTTGTTAGCAATACTGATAAAGGTACATCTGTCCATAAGTTTTTATTTGTTTTGGGCAATTATGTCTTGAAACATTTATTGATTACATAAAAGAAAATGAGCTATAAAAAAAAGACTCACTATTTCTTTTTTTATTTTATTTAGTACTTTTCTATAGGAGTTAAATATAATTTTTACACATTTTTTTTGACAACTTTTGACAATATGTATAAATTTCATAAACTTTATTTTTTTGCCTTTATGACGTGGATCCTTTTTAGCATCCATCTTTAAAATAAAAGTTATTTTTATAACCAATCAAAAAAAACTCGTAAAGAGGAGAAGACGCGTCTCATTTATTAAATATCATACAACTTACACATTTAAAATTATCCGCCATTTGTAATATATATAATTTTTTAAATCAAGATCGCTTCATTATTTTACATTTATTTTACATTTATTTTATTATATTCCTTGCCTTAATTTATGATAATGTGATGACCAAAATTATTGATTTAATTTTTCAATCTTTCATGTGGTTTAAATACTAATGGTTTCTAAAGAAAAAAAAATTATGTTCTCAACCAATATTTAATTTTACAACTCTCATTTATTATAAAAAAAAGATATCTATTACAAATACAATAATGATTTTTTTATTATTATTATTAAAAATAAAAACATATATAGTTATTTTTAAAAAAGAACGAGAAATTTTTACCGATTTTTTTGGATGAATGAATAATTAATGTAAAAATGTCACATTGTATATATATAGAGCAGATATAGACATTTGAATTTAACTGACAGAATTGTAGAATACTTGGGATTAGTTAAAAATCAAATTTAAATATTTCCCGGAGCGTGTTTTACAATTTCTATCTTAAACTCCCCTTTGCTTTGCCTTTTCCTATATAAAATATATTAATCAAATCTATAATTTACTAGACATTGTATTAATTACAGCGTAAGGATGTCGAACCGTTTAGTATAACGGTTGTCTTTCATTGCGACTCTAAGTTTGAAATAAATTTATAAAATATCGATATCTTTATGTGAGGTAGATGTAATTCATCGCATATAACCTGCTCCCCAAACATATGTTACCCAATTTACAAGACGATGACTATTCTCCTGATTCTAAATAAAGTGGAAGAATGAAATGAACGATTCCGAGAAAAAGAGTTGGATATTTTTTTAGTTTATTATTAAAACATGAATATGAAATAAGCCAATTAAGTAAAATATAACACCCTATAAAACTAATAGATTTTCAGGGATCCAAACTCGTAATATTAATTTATTTTGCTGGCTTCTCATTCTTTATTTTCTAGCAATTTTTGTTTTTATATTAGTTCGGAATAAGATAATAAAGATTTAAGCTCGGTCAATGCTATATTCAAGATTTATTTAGAGGTGGGGAAAGAGGGGGGGGGGTAGAGATGGGTTTTTAACCCTCTATTTGCTCGACCTTCTGTCGGGTACCACCTATGAAAGATTCTGATTAGGTATTTTCGATTTTCCTGTGGTTATTTTTTATTTAAAAATATTTAATGGCTGAACAATTGGAAGTACTATTTCTAAAATCCCTCCTATCATTATTTTTTATTGGTGCCTATAAATTCTTTGATCAGTATAGGGGCCAGCTGAGGAAAAATTATTAGCAACAAAATTTTGGCTAAACCTACTTTAAAAAAAGCCATAGGAAACTTTTATTCTGAAAATTTTATCAATCTTTAGTGTTTAATTGAATGTTATTTTAATCCGTTTGGTAGGCAGTATAAAGAAAAGATTTATTAGCTAAATAAGAAAAAAATAGCATCATGCCAAATTCTGGAAACATTGACTAAAACTTATATCAATTAGTGCTTATTTAGTAAAAATTTTGTGCTTCAAGCTCTTTGGTAGATGGCTTAAGAAAAATGCATTATCGGCAAAATAAAAAATTGTAAAGAATAGCATCATGATAAAGCGGAAATTATATATGCACTGAATTTATGGATGCGTCAACATGTAATGCCTGATTAGTGTTTGTTTACTAATTCATCGATGACGTTTTTCCGGTCAGATTTTAATTTGCTATTCAAGAATCATCAATTACATTCTAAATACGTAAGGTTTCTTTTTCTTCTTCAAAATTATTGATTCTATGATCTTTATGGATAATATTTATTTCGGTTTTATTTGATAGATAAGGAAGCAAAATATTAAAAATCTCTCATTATATTTTAGATCGAGTCATATTTTTAAATATTTGATTTGAATATCATATTGAGACGCAATTTTAATAATAATTATGATAGTAATAATTAAAAGCTTAATTCATGCAAATCTCAACTAATAAGTATATAGTTTAATGTCTCAATCCATTTGGTAAAAATTATAAATAAATTTATGGCATATGTAGATAGAAGGAAAAATTTCGAAAGCAATTATAATAGTAAAAAAATTTGAAAAAATTTATTTATTTGAATTACATATGCATTATACAACATTAAATTTTTTTTTAATACCATATTAAAGAAAATTACTATCATTCATAATGGCAGACATTATCATTTATTATAAATGATTACAAAGGCGCTAAGATTGAACGATTGTTTAGTAAAGTAAAATATGAAGCGCACTTTTACACTTAGAAATAGAAAATGTCAATAAGCATCGATCCCATACGAAATAGCTTTAAAGAAATGAAAGCAAATTTTCATCAACATTATTATAAAAATATTGTAAAACATTATTTATCTAATCATATGTTCCATGAGATGTGGGTCTAACCCCCAAACCTTCCCTTCTGACCCTACTCGTTTCGTTTATAAAAATGGTTCAAACTTTTTTGAATATAAATTTATTATAATTTTATTATATAGTTGATAAAAATTTTTAGATTTTAATATTGAAACCCATACATTAGAGGCCTACTGACAAAGAATTTAATTAAAGTATTTTAAAAGATTCTAACATTATGCTCAAGATTTGTGCGCCCTAAACTCTTATTTTGAAACCTCTACATATTCGAATATTATAATAAAAAATATTCACAATGTTGGATTCTTGGTGATAAATATTGTTTGTTGTCCATAAAATGACAATGTTAAAAATTATGTGACAGCTTTATGTCGTAAAATGAGTTCATTCAACCAGGAGACCATTTTCTACATAGTTGAGATTAAAAAAGAGTGGAGGGAGGTAATAAATCGGTATGATGTAGAATCACTAGCTGCCTTTAAAATCCATGTCAGACATAAATTTATCCGTCATTCATGTCAACGACATCAACATCTTTACCATAGTTACACTGAGACCGTGAAGCAGTTTATTAATGAATTACATAATGGGCTCTTTTTCCGCCCTTTTAAGTAGCGTCAATTTCATATGGTGGCAGAAACACTTTGTGAAGTTTTTAGGTTTTCTCACATCTATATTATAATTTCCCAATGTCCTAGCTACATCATGTCATAGTTAACTCATGTCATCAGTATGTATTTATTATTTAAAAATTTTAAAAAATAATAAATAAATATTTAATAATATGTTTTTTATGCACAGTTTTTCTTCAAATCATTCTATTTTAAATTTAACTCAACAGTATTCAAGTAAATTCAATTTTAAATGATCACATGAAATTTGAATTACAATGTTGTGCAGATTTGAAGTAAAATATAATATTCAAGTAAAGTAAAAACTAATGAGCCACACATGAAATTTTAATTACAATGTTGTGCCTATTTGAAGTGTGTTGGAATAGTATTAAAATCCACATTTATTATTTGATAAATAATTATATCATATTTTATATTTTATATTGATTATAAATTATATTTTATTTTTTATCATAATTTAAATTTTATTATCTGATAAATTACATTTTTATTTTCAAAGATAACATTTTTTTTTATTTTTCTTTAATAAAAACAATTTCTCTTTATATATCTTTTTTTAAACAATAAAAACAATAACTAATACAAATTGATATTAAAAAAAATGTAATGTTAAAATGATATAAAAAAATGTTAATATAAAAATTTGACCGAAAGGTATAATTACTATTATTTATCATTCCACCCTCCCAAGAAATTCGGCTTACAATTTCCTTGGATAAGTTGAGTGGAACGCCATTAACGCTCAGGATCGCCACGCAATACGCCACCTATGTTCATGGTGCAGTTTTCTTTTCAAACCAAACGATGGCTTGGTAATGTAAAGGCAATTCTTAGCTAACTTTGCGATCAGATCATTTGTGCATGGCATCGGGCATCTAGATTCCTCTCGAGCAATTATATTGTCCTTCAGCCAGCCATCCAATTTCTGAGTCATTGCATCAATCTTGGCACACGGAATTCTCTTTGAAGGTATGATCTTAGGCACAGCATCGGGCTTTAAGTGAATCTCTTGTCTGACCATTTTGGGTTTGTAGGAGTAAGTTGATTCGAGGTCTTTTTTTGTTGTCGAGATTATCTTCTCGAGATCATTCTATACATTACCCACTAAGAACGTTTTTAAAATGTTGTTGAAGGTGCGGACCACATACGTCCTAGCAAGGGGATCTTATCACAATCCATTACAATGGCCTCCAGTGTATGTGAGTTTCCTTCATACTTAACGTTCATATTTACAAGACCTAATATCTTGATAGCGCTGCCGTCATAACCAGTGAGTCTCATGTCCGTCTTACGTATCGTGGTTATGCCTACAGTCTTAGCTGTCAGCTTCGGGAGTATAGTGTACCTCGTACCGGTGTCAACTTGCATCAACGTGGATATGTCGTTGATGCTCACCGTTACGTTGTACGCGTCATCTGTGGTATCCTTGACCCCCATATTGTACACTTCAAGATTCTGAGAATTATTTTCTTTGAGGTCTGTGTTTAAGTCGTCGTCATCATCGATTACTTCGATGTTCATAACATGGTTCGTATCCAATTGACAATCACGATATTTGTGATCAGAAGATCTATTGTAAGTGTTATTGTCATTTTTGTACTGGTTGGGACTCGCTCGACGAATGCTTCGGAAAACCATTAATATTTTGAGGGTTGTGACTATGCTGACCACGACGGGGATAGATGGTTCGGTTATCACATATATAGCAGTCATCCCGTCGATCAGGGCTTTGATGATGATCACAATTATAGTTGTGATAGCCATGGACGTTGTATCCTTTATTATTGTATCGATCGTCGTAGTAGTTATCCTTGCGATTATCGAAACGGTTGCGGTTATAGTGACAATTATCGTAGCTTTGATCAAAACGATTGTCGTGGAATTTGCTGTGCCTCCGTTGAATCGTTTGTCGCAGTCGTTGTCGTAACGTATTGTAACGTTCTTCGAAATGTTGTCCGGGGCGATTGTCATTGATGAACTGGGGTTGCTTGATGAGAGATTCACCATGTGCATGAGAGTCCTGAATGGGTTTTGCGGTCACGTAGCTATTTTTGACTCTGCCCATGTGATTAACCTCTTGTACACCAGGTGATTCATTCAAATGAAACAATTTCATCTCGCCCTTGATGCCAGTTGGCTCCGCGGTGTCTTCCTCTTGACCTAGATTGTAAATGTCTTCTATGGTCATCGAGCTCTTGACCGCTTTCCTGACTTCCTTGGAATTCGAAGATACTCTCACTTTCTCAATAATTCGCTGAATGCCATTGAATTTACATTCTTTATTGAGTCGTGCTACGCGTGTGACCCAAGCCGAGAACGTCTCCTCCTTGCCTTGAGTGGCAGCATAAAATAATGACAGTTTGTCATTCTCAGTCTTCGATGGATGTTGTAGCTTGAATTTGCCAAGCAGGGCGATTGGGTCCTGGAAGTCTGCCTCAGTGCAAGTTGCCCCTATATTATAGAATTGGTCATCTGGAAGACTTCGGAGAAACAAAGCGGCCTTTTATCCGTTGGAGATCTTGCTGATGTCGAAGAAATTCTGCAATTTCCCTATGTAGGCGCTGTCATCGCTACTAAATTTGGGGAAATCCAGCTTGACAAATTCAGTCATATATGTGGAATTGTTCAAAGCATCCATCATAAGAGAATTATAATCGATAAAGGCGTAAAATAGAATAAATGTACATTACAAAATCAAGATCAAATTTTGAGATAATACTTACGCAGTATACCTCCATATTAGAATAGTATTAAAATCAACATTTATTATTTGATAGATAATTATATCACATTTTATATTGATTATAAATTATATTTTATTTTTTATCATAATTTAAATTTTATTATCTGATAAATTACATTTTTATTTTCAAAGATAAATTACATTTTTTTTATTTTTCTTTAACAAAAACAATTTCTCTTTATATATCTTTTTTTAAACAATAAAAAAAATAACTAATACAAATTGATATGAAAAAAAATGTAACGTTAAAAGGATAAAAAAAAATGTTAATATAAAATTTTGACCGAAAGGTATAATCACAGTGAATTATATATATTTTTTAAATATTACTTTTTACAAATTAAAATATCCTTACTTTCTATCATTCTTTGTATATATTTAACCTCAGCATAATATTTATGCATCATATATACTTAAAAACTTCATATCTAAAAATACTTTCATTTTAACATATTATTTTTATATTTCAATCAATATAAATCCTTTCTAATTATTATCATTTCCATATTCATAAAAATTTCCAATTCAATTCTATTAATATTTTTTATTTAAATTAATACATTATTTCAAAACATATTACATTTAAATTTCTTTTTTTTCCTCTCTTACCTTTTTCTTTTCCATCTATTCCAATTTTTCCCTACTTTCTTATCTTTAATTTTATTCATTGCATACAAATAATTTTTTTTTACCTTTGTTTTCCAAATATCAATATTTTTTAAGGTCCTTGTATTATTGAGTCACTTTTATCCCCAGTGTCTTTTTCGTGGTGAAACGGCACCACTTTTTTAAAAATAAAATGATTTTATAATTATAATTCCTCTCATAAATATGTCAGTATAATAATAATGTCACAAGATACAATTTTAAAAATAACAAAGATAACAAAATGTTATATCTTTTATTAGAAATCATATGAAAGATGTCTATATATGTCAATTACACATTAACAGATACAACAGCTACCTACCTAAATTAATGCAATTTTGATAAGTTTAGTATTAAATATACCTTCGATTGTTTTGTCATTTTTAATCAATTCAAATACATATTACCTATTAACTCTTACAATTTTTCCCTTGAGAAGTAATATACTGCAAGCTCAGTTACTCTATATATGGCACATTTAAATTTGTTTTAACAGAGTACATCCTTATTTCTATCATATTTGATATATTTTATTTGGTTGTCTAAAATATATCCTTATCAAAATCAACTTATATTTATTAGAAAGCATTATATTTCGCATTAAATCATACTCTTTTTTTAAACATTAATTTTAAATGATATTTACACATAATTTTTGAAATTTAAATTTACCACGATATAACTGACCAATCAGAAAAATCGATAAAATTCGATTAAATGACTTTACTATCTTAAGTAGACAACAAATTTTCTATGGAAAAGATTATAAATTATATTGATGTGTTTGAAGAAAAGTATAAAAAATTCGTTAAATACAAGTATTTCGATACACCAGATGGGCAAGATGTTTGCAAAAAGATGTATTATACATCAGCAACTACAACTCAAGCTGGTATATATAGGCTATTAAATATGCACTAGCACATTATTTTTCTTAGGTATTCTCTTTTCCTGCTATCAAGTATTGTTGAAAGAATTAACTCCAACTTGGCAACACGGAGTAGTTAGAGCAGCCAGTTTAACCTGGCCTTTTAGTTATACTTATTATAATCTACAGATATAATTTATGTGTTATATATAGCTGTTGCAGGTTTACTATATTCTGGCACAACCTTTATGTCCTGTAGATTAAGAAATAAGGATGATGAGTTAAATCACTTTTTTGGTGGGCTCTCTGTTGGATTAGCCATATACTATAGATGTAAGAAATTTCCTTCATTTATTTTTATTCCTAATTTATTTTTAACCCTGAACTAGCTTCAGAGCTATGTTTATACAATGTACCTATAAATATTTAAATAATCTTTGAAAGTAAACAAGATTTTTAAATTCAAGTTGCTTTAAAATTGGTGTATTTTCTCATATTTATAACTAAAATCAAGCATATTTTTATTAATATTTTCCAAAAAATTTGCTTTGAAAGATTTTTTAAAATATGATTTTAACAGATTACTAATATGAATTAGAGATATAAAAATCCTGTGAAATTTTCATTATCTAAGAATATATTTTTTTTATAATATTTAACATAAATAAATGTGTAATAACATCACAATGTTAGCCCTTGGAGTTAACATTTATTTTGTAATAGAATCAAGACCTGCAGAGGTACCATTTGCATGACTTAGCTTAGATTTTTTTAAAAAAAATTTGACCCAATCAAGAATTTTTTATTTTTAAGCCCAGCCATTATATTTTTAAAAATTTTAAGACCTGGCCTGTAATTTTTTAATATATATTATATTTAACTTTTATTAAGGTTATTTAAAATATTTGGTTGCCTTGCCTGGGTATTAAAAAAAATATTTTTAGGCCTTGCCCAGCCTGGGTATATTTAAAAAACTAAAATATGGCCTGCTCATGTAGTAAAGCATATTTTTATTAGTTTTTGTGAAAGGTTGCTATTAGTGTTGCGTAATCGGCTAATTTTAACCGACTAAAAACGGCTTAGCCGAGATTTTAGGTGGAAAAATCGGCTAAGCCTAATTAGGTATAGCCTAAAAATCGGCTAAGCCTAATTAGGCTAAGCCTAAAAATCGGCTAAACCTAATTAGGCTAAGCCTAAAAATCGGCTAAGCCTAAAAATTGGCTAAGCCTAAAAATGGGCTAAGCCTAAAAATTGGCTAAAATAAATTAGTCAAAATTCTGCATCGATGTTAGCATTAATTATTATTTATTTATTTTAGTAAAATAATTTATTTTATTTATATTTAATGTAAATATTTTATTATTATCAACAAATAAACATGATATGATTTAATATTTTTTATTTATATTATTATATTTTGAAATGAAAATAAATTTATTTATTTGATGTTTTTTTAATAAAAAAAATAATATGCTACTATATTGTAAAAATGTAATATTCTTTATAATATAATTTATTAGTGATTTTCACAATCTTCTTTGTAAATACATCTTTTATTGAGGAATTATATTGTAAATTTTATTAGATAAATAAACAATCTTTTAGGTGAAATCTTTTATCATTTTTTTAAAATTATCTATTTATTATTAAATAAGGTGGATTTTATGAAACTTTTTTGATGTTATTTTATATGATCTTTTTAAGGATAATATTTTAATGTGACAATTGTCATAATCGTTCTTTTATAAGTTTTTTGAATTTTTTTGAAGGAAGTATGTTAAAATAAGTATTAATAACATGTGTAAATACAAATTTAGTGAAGATGTACCAATGAAAAGTGACAATTGTCATAATCGTTATTTTTAAAGTTTTTCGAATTTTTTTGACAAAAATATGTTAAAATAAGAATTAATAACATGAGTAAATATAAATTTAGTGAAGATGTACCAATGAAAAGTGACAATTGTCATAATGGTTAATTTTAAAGTTTTTTGAATTTTTTTGAAGAAAATTTGTTAAAATAAGTATTAATAACATGTGTAAATATAAATTTAGTGAAGATGTACCATAGAAAAGTGACAATTGTCATAATCGTTATTTTTAAAGTTTTTTGAATTTTTTTGACGAAAATATGTTAAAATAAGTATTAATAACATGTGTAAATATAAATTTAGTGAAGATGTACCAATGAAAAGTGACAATTGTCATAATCGCTATTTTTAAAGTTTTTTGAATTTTTTTGACGAAAAAATGTTAAAATAAGTATTAATAACATGTGTAAATATAAATTTAGTGAAGATGTACCTTAGAAAAGTGACAATTGTCATAATCGTTATTTTTAAAGTTTTTTGAATTTTTTTGACAAAAATATGTTAAAATAAGTATTAATAACATGTGTAAATATAAATTTTGTGAAGATGTACCATAGAAAACTGACAATTGTCATAATCGCTATTTTTAAAGTTTTTTGAATTTTTTTGACGAAAATATGTTAAAATAAGTATTAATAACATGTGTAAATATAAATTTAGTGAAGATGTACCAATGAAAAGTGACATTTTCATAATCGTTAATTTTAAAGTTTTTTAAATTTTTTTGAAGAAAATATGTTAAAATAAGTATTAATAACAGAAGTACCAATGAAAAGTGACATTTGTCATAATTGTTATTTTTAAAGTTTTTTGAATTTTTTTGAAGAAAATATGTTAAAATAAATATTAAAAACATGTTTAGATTAAAATTTAGTGAAGATGTGCCATAGAAAAATGACATTGTCATAAGCGTTATTTTGAATTTTTTTGACGAAAATATGTTAAAATAAGTATTAATAACATGTGTAAATATAAATTTAGTGAAGATGTACCAATGAAAAGTGACAATTGTCATAATCGTTATTTTTAAAGTTTTTGGAATTTTATTGACAAAGATATTTTAAAATAAGTATTGATAACATGTTTAAATAAAAATTTAGTGAAGATGTACTCTAGATAAGCGACAATTGTCATAATCGTTATTTTTAAAGTTTTTTGATTTTTTTTGACGAAAATAGTTAACTTGCATCGATATTGATTTTAAAATAGAAAAAAAAGTTTACCCAAATTTTAAACAAGATTGTCTTGTGAAAATTGGTAAAAAAATAATAATTTCTAACTTAGGATTAGATATTATGATATAAATTTTGCATATTAATTTCTGACCCGATGAACAAATGTAATAAAATGCCAATTTGCTCCTGTTTTTGGGGAAGAATCTATTATTACCATATGTTTTTCTATGGCATATACTCAGGCAATTTTAATTTTACAATCTATATTTTTACCCATTTACATCAAAGAAATTTTAAAAATAACGATTATGACAATTGTCACTTTTCTATAGTACATCTTCACTAAATTTTGATTTAAACATGTTATTATTACTCATTTTAACATATTTTCGTCAACAAAAATCAAAAAACTTGAAAAATAATGATTATGACAATTGTCGCTTATCTAGAGTACATCTTCATTAAATTTTTATTTAAACATGTTATATATACATATTTTAAAATATTTTCGTCAAAAAAATTCAAAAAAGAATAACGATTATGACAATTGTCACTTTTCATTGGTACATCTTCACTAAATTTATATTTACACATGTTATTAATACTTATTTTAACATATTTTCGCCAAAAAAATTTAAAAAATAACGAATATGACAATTGTCACTTTTCATTGTCTTCACTAAATTTATATTTACACATGTTATTAATACTTATTTTAACATATTTTCGTCAAAAAAATTCAAAAAACTTTAAAAATAACCATTATGACAATGTCAATTTTCTATGGTACATCTTCACTAAATTTTATTTAAACATGTTATCAATACTTATTTTAACATATTTTCTTCAAAAAACTTATAAAATAACGATTATGACAATTGTCACTTTTCTATGGTACATCTTCACTAAATTTTTATTTAAACATGTTTTTAATACTATTTTAACATATTTTCTTCAAAAAAATTCCAAAAACTTATAAAATAACGATTATGATAATTGTCACTTTTCTATGGTACATCTTCACTAAGTTTTTATTTAAACATGTTTTTACTACTTATTTTAACATATTTTCTTCAAAAAAATTCAAAAAACTTTAAAAATAACGATTATGACAAATGTCACTTTTCATTGGTACATCTTCACTAAATTTATATTTACACATGTTATTAATACTTATTTTAACCTATTTTCTTCAAAAAAATTCAAAAAACTTATAAAATAACGATTATGACAAATGTCACTTTTCATTGGTACATCTTCACTAAATTTATATTTACACATGTTATTAATACTTATTTTAACCTATTTTCTTCAAAAAAATTCAAAAAACGTATAAAATAACGATTATGACAATTGTCACTTTTCTATGGTACATCTTCACTAAATTTTTATTTAAACATGTTTTTAATACTTATTTTAACATATTTTCTTCAAAAAAATTAAAAAACCTTAAAAAATAACGATTATGACAATTGTCAATTTTCTATGGTACATCTTCACTAAATTTTTATTTAAACATGTTATTAATACTTATTTTAACATATTGTCGTCAAAAAAATTCAAAAAACTTTAAAAATAACGATTATAATAATTGTCACTTTTCTTTGGTACATCTTCACTAAATTTATATTTACACATGTTATTAATACTTATTTTAACCTATTTTCTTCAAAAAAATTCAAAAAACTTATAAAATAACGATTATGACAATTGTCACATTAAAATATTATCCTTAAAAAGATCATATAAAATCATCAAAAAAGTTTCATAAAATCCACCTCATTTAATAAAAAAGATAATTTAAAAAAAATGATAAAAAAATTATAAAAGATTGTTTATTTATCTAATAAAATTTACAATATAATTCCTCAATAAAAGATGTATTTATAAAGAAGATAGTGAAAATCACTAATAAATTATATTAAAAAGAATATTACAATTTTACAATATAGCAGCATATTATTTTTTTTATTAAAATAACATCAAATAAATAAATTTATTTTCATTTGAAAATATAATAATATAAATAAAAAATATTAAATCATCATGTTTATTTGTTGATAATAATAAAATATTTACATTAAATATAAATAAAATAAATTATTTTACTAAAATAAATAAATAATAATTAATACTAAGCATCGATGCAGAATTTTGACTAATTTTTTAGCAGATTTATATTGGCTTAGGCTTAGCCGATTTTTAGGCTTAACCTAATTAGGCTTAGCCGATTTTTAGTTTTAGCCGATTTTTAGGCATACCTAATTAGGCTTAGCCGATTTTTAGGCTTAGGCTAATAGGCTTAGCCGATTTTTAGGCTTAGCCTTATTAGGCTTAGGCGTAGTTTTTAGCCGATTACGCAACACAACACTAGTTGCTATTATTTGATGCTGTGAATTAGTGATCTGCATCAAGCCTAATTTTTCAAGCCCGGCCCGAACCAATTTACTTTAAAAAAATTTACTGGCCCGGCCAGGCCCGAATTTATTTAAATATAGAAATTAATTTTTATTATTACTTAAAATAAAAGACATATGTTATATAGTGTTTATTTTCAATAAATTAAATAAAAAAAATTTTTTTTACATAAAAAATTAAATATAAAATTGATAAATTTAGATATATTTATTTAAAATTCCAAGGTCCACCTGGCCCGAAATTTTTTAAAAAATATTAGGTCCAGCACGAACCTAATTATTTTAAATAGAATTAGACCCGAACCCGGCCCAAGCAGATCTCTACTGTGAATATGCTTATACATGAATAATATGTTGAGGGATGATAGGTCCCTAGATTCATCCCTGTCCTGTAATTTTGAGAGTTGACAATATGTTCACCTTTGATAAACTTCAGTGCCAAAGTCTGCAATGAGTGGGTTTTAACCCTAATACCTGCCCACCCATTATTTTAAATTTTTTTTTAACATGATTGCTAAAAATTTATATACTCACTCATTTATCTAAAAATTATGTTTAATCCAAATTATTATAATGGTTGGTTTGGCTATTTATCAGGGATTCATACCTAACCATTAAACCCCTAAAATCCTGTATTTTTTTTTATTGAACCTAAACCTCTAAAAAATTTCTACCCAGACCTGAACCGAGCTGCTAAAATGCCTCTGAACCAGTTCGAGCCTCCTAATTTTATTCTTTTAAAATAATATGTAAGTATTACTAGTACATTGCAAAAATTTTAATTATTTGAATTTTTTTAAAGATTGTTATCAATCACACTTCATTGATAAGTGTCAATCATAATTTTTACAAACTTTAGTATATTAGCATTTTACTACTTTTTTAAAAATATTTTAAGCTTATAAATTATAATGCCAAAAGAAGAATTTAATCCAATATATAAATTATTTACATATACTATATGTAATATTACTGATTGTCAAATAAATATGAAAGGCCATCATGGAGCAAATCTTGAGCATCAGATAAAAAGAAACTACCCTCTAGAATTCGATAAAATTAACAAAATATCACAAAAAAACCTTAATAAAATAAAAAAGTTTAAGATATCAATCAAGCAAACGTTAATAGAAAAACTAAATAAAAAATAATAATCGATGCTTGTACTGAATTGATCATCTTAAATAGTAGACCATTCAAGTATCTTATAGTGAACTTTATTTTACAGCTTTTGAATGGGAAGCAATTATAGGGTTGATAAATATCCTAAAATCCTTTAAAGTAGCTACCAAGAAATTACAACTTGAACAGCTAACTTTAGGGTTATGGCATATGGCTAAAAGCTAAAAGCTAAATTGGAAATTTCTATTTTTATTTCACCCTTTACTGGTTCAATAATAGATGCTATGAATTTTAGAGCGAAACAACTTTTAAAGAACAATGCCTTTTTATCATGCCTATATCTAGATTTAAGGTGTTTTAAAAATATTTTATTATATCTTATATAAATTTAATTATTAATTTTATTTACCTTATTTAATATTTTTATTTTACTTTACATATTTTTCTATCTATTCATAAAAAATAATAAGATTTTCTTAATAATATTTATAATTTTTATTTTATAGATTTCAAGCTGAAGAAGAAAAGACCAAGGCTAGAAAGCATATTATTAAAATATGGCATAACATGGAATTAAACTTTATTATAAGAGTGAAGGATTCTAGTGAATGTGAATTATTGCCGATTATTGTATCTTCACCTGAAGAGGATTTGGTAGAAAGTCTTCTTAAAGAAAAAGAAGATAGCAAACAAAATCGAATACAAAAATCGAAGAATATTAGAAACATTTAGTTAATTTATCTAAAAACCTAGATTAAATAAAAATATGAATATTTTAGACTATCGGAGAAATCAGAATATTTGATACCCAGAATTATGTAAATTCTCTGATATCATACTGGTAGTGCTGTCTACCCTAGTTAGTATGGAAAGATGTTTTTTAACAATTAAATTTATATATCTCCTTATAGATGTAATATGAGTAGACAAATCTTGAAAATATATTAATGGCTAAATAAAAAAAATTTGAAGTAAATAAAATTAAATATTGTTCATATTAAAACTATTCATTGATATTTATTTTTTTATATTTATAAATTAAATATTATTTTATGTGCAATTAATAAAAATGAAGGTTTTACGTATGTGTTTTTTATTTTAAGGATGAAATAAAAAATATATATTCTTCCCTATACATACATAATTAGAATAGGCTTGAATACAAAAGTGTTCAAACCGGTTTTTAGAGGTTCGAACCGAACCGAACCGAAACGATATTTTTATTTTTTACGAACCAAACCTGAACCTTGAACCGTTATTTTTATCCGAACCTGAACCTAAACTGAACCGATATTCTTTTCGGTTTGGATCCCTGCTATATATTTATTTATTGTATTTTTAATTAAACTTATTAAATTTGCAATATGAAATAAAAAAATTAACTTGAGTAGATATCAGTTCTGCTAATTTCACATGAAAACTATTTAAAATTCACCCACCCATTGTTTTGAAAATATACAAAAGGAGGTGCTCAAAGGTCTACTGATCTTTGACGACTTTGCTTTTTTTACAGGACTTTCAATAAAGGATAAGTGATATCTATTCATCATGCATCCCTTCAAATTATTAGACAATCCAGTTATGACATATCTTGGCACGCCCATCGAAGGCTCCACTGCCATTGAGATTTTTTAAACAAAAACAGCACCAAAGTGAGTCACTGGAAACAACTACTCTTGTCGCATAGACTTTGTTTTTTTTTATTATCCCAAAGATGCTGGAAGAAGAATTCTTAACTTCGACATACGCACCTCACCTTTGGTTATTACACATAGGTCACTTTACCTATTAAACTCAGAGTATCGATGTTTGTTCCTGGCTATCATTCTAACTTTCTTCTTGTTTTTAACACGGACCCAATTTTTGTGCAAATAAAATATTTTCAATTAAATAAAGCCCCCCCCCCCTCGCTTAGGATAAAATTTGTTATTGATTGATATTTTCGTTGAGTTTATACTATTGATATGAGCAATCTTTGACGATATACCAAATCGGTTAACTTTTCTGCCCGAACTTGTTTAATTTTGACAAAATTTTGCATACTGAGAGAACATCATTAGAAAGCATTGAAATCCAAAATTTTGATATCCAAATACTAATAGTTTCTGAGATATCGATGGTCAAAAGTGCCAAAAATCAACTTACTTTTTTTTCGAAAAATACGATTTTTTAAAATTGAGATAAGAAAATAAAAAAAATGTATGTAATTTTGTGATTCTATTAAAGGCCTTTTATATTAAATATTAAGGATTTTTATAAAATAATAATCTTGCGGGTTTTTATTTTAAGCTATAACATAAGTTTTTTAATTATTACTTTTTTAAAAAAAAATATGGTTGCTAGTCAATGGGTTAATTCTCTATTGTCCTCATAATTTTTTCCGTCTGGATTTATTAGCTTGGGAGCCGATAAAGATTAGCTCATAAGAGCTAGCAAAGAACAGCTAAACAGCTATCATTTTGGTAACCCATATAGTAATTATTCTCATGTTAGAAACTACTATGTGACAACTTGCTTCCTTACTATCTCGATGATCAGGCAATTCTTTAATAAAGTTGTGGCAGACATAGGAAGAAATTGGTCTCTCATTTTAAAATTTTTAATAATGATATGGGTAATCAAAATGGCATCCTCAGCTGTTTTCATTGGTGTACACTTTTAATGAATGAATCGTCAGTCTAGGTATTATATGTTATTGGTCCTATGAGCCGGACCTGACTTAACATTTACTATGATCTACTCATAACTTTTTTAAAAAATTTTTAAACCCATGAGTATACAAAATTTAATAAAGTGTCGTGTTTAAAAAAAAAATAAGATAAGAGACCTTCATATGCTTGGGGCTACGGCTTATTTTTAGGCGTCGTTGGTCTGGTGTTCAAATCTCTGAAAAAAACGGATATGGGCAATTCTAGTTGGAGTCAAGCCCTCATTAGTTCGTGCGAAAGTCGGTGCATAACATACGATGACAAGATAGTAGATTGGAGATTGGCCTATAAACCAACCAAAACTGCCACCATGTTTTCTGGGCCGGGTCAAAGGCCTACCCCACCTTTACTTTATTCCGAAACGCCCAAACTCAAATAAATTTTACGATTTTATTTATATATTATATATATCTATTTATTTTTTATTTTGTTGCTCTCTATATAATTTAATTAATTTATTATATTGATTATGCGTGTAAAAAATAAATACCAATTTTAAACAAAAAAAATTCTTAATTTTTTTTCTTTATAAATAATATGTAAATTTTTATTTTGCAATCGTAATTTTTTAAGAATGACCAATTTCCAATTTTGAGATAATTGTGTAAAATAGCACCAGAATAATATATCTCCATATCCATATAAAAATATAACTGCCATTTTATTAAATAATTGACCATTTGTTTAAGTTCAGATTATTATTTTTTATTTAAAATCAAAGAATATAAAAAAAGAAGTAATATATATTCAATCTAATAAATCATAATTATTTTAAAATATATGATTGACATATTATTATAAAATATATGTATAATTATTTTAAATAATTACAAACAAGAATAATAGAAAAGCCGTAAATTATTTTATAGATAAAAAACATTCGCTAGCCTGGAGATTTTGGTCATAGATGGCAGGAAGGCATGGATTGGATATCTATTAAGCGAAATCTCTAGGCCTGTATAATTTTATTTTGGCTGAAATCTTGATCTAAAATTGGCTAAATCGCGCCATTTAACAACACTAGGTGTTATGTACTCATCGAGGGGGCATCGATTTTTGATAAACGTTATCGGGGGGGGGGGGATGTAAATAGAGAATGGAATACTTTTATATGGTACATTTTGAAGCATTATTTACATTGTGGCGTCCGACACAATTTAACAGCTGAACGATAAATCTTTTAACGAGATCAATTTTTTTTATTATTATCTTAAAATCAATAATTCCATTATTATCACGAATGAAATTGAAATTAATATTGAGATAAAGAAAAATTGATTTCGTAAAAACAGATTTATTGATCAGCTGACCCTGAATCCGGCCTTACTCGAATCTTAATTTCACATGTTTGCACAAAAAAAAGTTTAAAAATAACATAATTGTCATTTTCATAATAATTTTATGAAATATTTTTCATATCATTTAGGGAAAAAGGAGGAGGGGGGGGGGGGTGTAGTATTCGAGATTTTTAAAAATTGTTCATTAATTTAGGAAATTTCTTTTCGATTAAAATTTTGTTCTGTTTTTTTTTCGCGGATTTATTTTTCGCATCATATTTTTTTTTAGAATTTATTTTAAAAAAAAATGTTCCGTTTACAAATTTGGAGTCATTTATATTTACTATCATTGAAGATACACCTTTTTCCAATTGATATAAAATTATTTTGGAGAAAGTATCGGACATTTTATTTTATGATGGAGGAAATAAACACCCCCCCCCCCCCCAGAATTTTTTTTTTGCATGAGAAAATATTATTTTTGTTATATATGAAGATATATGTGGTATAAATAGAAAGAAGAAAAGGGAAATCAAACACATGCATTCATTCATGCTGATTTTAACTTGAATATTCTTTTTGCTTTTAATTTTTTATTTTAGGATATATGGTTTTTATTTAGATTATTTCAATGGAAGTCTTATTTCATACTACTTTTTTTTTCTGACCCATAAATATATTAGATATGAAATACAAGATTCACGCCTACAATTACGAGGTTAAATAAGGGTCATTCCATGTCAAAGAGCAAAAAAACATGAGATTTTCGGCCGACCTCGTTCAATTTTTTAAAAATTTGGTAAGTAAAAAAAGAGAGTTGTAATTAAGAAATAACCAAAATTTAACCTCCTAACATTTATATTTTTGGAGATATTAAGGTTCCGAACTTCAAAAATGACGTTTTTTTTACTTGTGCTGTAAAGATTTCTAAATTAATCGAACGCGTTTACGTTCAGCGTTTATCTTACAAAGGAACACGTTCTCATACGTTTAGAAACTTTTAGATTAATTTTTTTTTAAAATTTCATCAATATTTAATTTATTTTAAATAAATACCATTAAAAATTAATAGTTTTAAAGTAAATTATAAAAAAATTAAATTTTATTAATTTTTAATTTATATTAGATAATAAAAATTTGATTATTTATAAATTAAATTTAATACTTTGAATTTTTGTTCAAATTATTATAATATAAAACCCTCTATAAAAACAAATTTCAAATAATTGCAGTTAAAAATAAATAAATTGTAAAAGATATTGACTATTTTATATCTATGCATATTATATATATTATTTTTAATGATTTTTACTTATATGTATCTCAGAGACAGAGGTGCTATTTGCACATCACGGCCCATATCTTTTTTTAAAAAATAATTCAACCTTGGCCCTGCTTAGGGATACTTAAAAAATTAAAATCCCATCGATGAACCCTGGCCGGTCTTAGAGCCGGGCCTGTCTCAGAATAATTTAATAAGTCTATTAAATACAACAATGTAAGATAAATTATTGACAAGCCACTTAACGTTATATTTATATTATAAAATAATAAATAATTACAATCAAGTGTCTTTTTAAATTAGAATTTAAAGATTTTCAAACTGATATTATACTTTTTGGACACATTTACATTAGGGTTAAGGAATGAATTAGTTTATTCAATATATGTTGTTACTATTATTTATTATATTTGGGACATTGTCATCTTAATTCGGAATCAAGTGATGATGATGATGAAATAACAACCTCCATGCTTACGCTAATATATATAATTATAATCAAGTTATTAACTATATATTATAGGACAGAAAGAGTGGCTGATTAAAAAATTCAAATGTGATAAAGGAAATTGCTGATTATAAAAGAATTTTTTTTTTATTAAAAAATATGGATTAATTTAATTTAATATTTTTTTATTTTCAAATGAATAAAAATAAGATTTTCTAAAATTGAACAAACCTAAAAATAGAACGCATTCATCAAAAAAAAAGAACACCTTCACGTTCAAAGTTCGTCAAAAATAAAAGGAGCCTCATTAATCATTTTTTTTTAAAAAACGAACTTCGTTCACGACAACATTAATATTAAAAAAATATAAATGTTTCTTAGAAAATACAATAATATTTGAAGCGTTGACTCAAATTTACAAAGTGCATGTTATTAAGATTATACAATTAATGCCTAAATGTAGTAAAGATTATCTAATCAATCGATTTGTTTAGATATATAAAATTTTATTAATATATATTTTACCACAAAAATTTTACATTTGGCTTTACATTGTTGATAAACAAGATATACTACGCATAATTAAATAATAAATATATGTTCAATATAAATTATTGTTTAATTGTCTAAATATACTAGGAATTCTAGCCTTTTAATTATAAACAATTGAGTAGAATAAATATACATTTTAAACCTTAATGATAAAAGATTACACATCTTAATAACTGTCCATGATTTAGGCGTTAAACAATTTTTGATATTGTAATTTTGAATAATTTCATGTGCATTATACAGGCCTTTGATGATTATATAATGTTGCTCTCATTTTTTTTCCGAGATGTAAAAAAATATTTTAATATTTTGTTAAAAAATTTTATAAAGAGTTATTTATATATTAATATAAAGTTTGGTTAAACATGGTCAGAACATTGATAAAAAATAAATCTTTTTTTGCAATTGAAATGGTGAATTCAGAGACTCCCTGAGCAATTTTTGATAGGTGTAGTTATGTATATTTTTCTCAAACATTTAAGATAAAAAGATAATAATAAATTTGGATTTGGTATATTGACAATTCTGGTTCATAGCGACAACATTGATGAAAAATTCATTTTTTACAATTCTATTGAGGCCCAATGCTTCTCTGAGAATTTTTTTCATTATTCATACTTATTATAAGCTTCGAGTCTGTCAATGTCGGATCAGAACACCTTAAATTTTGCTATATGACCATAAAATCTATGTTCATATTGATGTAATATTCATTATGATAAGTTGATTATCGCTTCACTTGATTCACTTTTTATAATTTTATTCTAATTTACAATTTCAAGCCAAGATATGTTTCGGCTCAGTGGCTTATGCAGGATTTTATTTTGGGCTTAGTTCAAAAGGATAATAACATTAAAAGATAAAAAATTATAAAAAATAGGGATATATAACAACCAAGTCCAGGAGAAAAAAAATTTACCGGGTTTCAATTCCCAAGTTTTTAAATATGCTGCTTCGACATCTTTAAAAAATGATTTTAAAATTGCCACATAATTAGAAAATAGTTTTCAAGAGCTAGAAATTTTAAAAAATCCAACTGCAGGAATAAATGATATTATATCGTAGGTTCGCTTTTTACAAGATTTACCCATTCATATATATCCAATTTTTTGAGCTCCTTGTTAATAAAAATATACTATATTTTATTGTTTAACCTTTGTTCGAATATATTTCGATTAATTATATTATGCAAAATGCGTGTTATTTCTAAGAAAATATTACTATAAAAAACAAATATAATAAATTTTATTCACCCCATAACTTGGTTTCCAGTTTTGTATTTTAGTAATAAAAAGAGAAAATGTAAAAAGTAATTTGTTTTATAATAGTAAATCAATCACCATCTTGATAGATGTCACTTCATGAATGGATATTTTCTAATACATAGCGTTTAAGATAAGATAAACATATGACCACGTTTTATTTGAATTATTGCCGACCATAATATTCAGATAGGATGATAAATTTAATTATAATCTTCGTTTTTAATATACTTATTAGATGGCTTGTATCCTTGAATTCTTATTCAGGTATTAAAATATATATGTACTAATTATTTTTAAATCATAAGAAGTTTTTGGAAATATAGGTAAATTTATTAGCTTACAGTCATATATTATTTTTTTTGTTAGTTGTATTGATTTAATGTCTGGCATTTGTTGTAGGTTTATTTAATTTTTGCCAGACTGAATTCCTGATGTTAAGGAAGACATAAAGAGGATTTGTTGAATTGTCATTGAAATATGGATTGTTATATTATTATTAGAAAATTGATCTTAAAAGATTTTTTTAATTGATAAAATTTATTCTTTAATCACTTATTAATTTTTTTTAAATCATAAAAAGGATATAACACACCACCAATGTTTGGAGATTTTGAGGCTCAGAGACATTGGATGGAGCTCACTTATAATTTGCCTATCAAAGAATGGTTTTTTAAAAGCTAAATATTTTTTATATTAATTTTATATAGGTATGTCAATTCTACAGATAATGATTTATTATATTGGGGTTTAGATTATCCTCCTTTAACTGCATATCATAGTTATATTCTTGGATACATGTAATATTTAGACCTAAATCATCATTAAATATTTTTTTTTAAATTTTAAGTTCTAATAAAATAAACCCTAATTGGACCAAATTATATGAATCTAGAGGTATAACAGATAATGATCATAAGATATATATGAGAATCACTGGTATAATTCTTGTTTTGATTTATGTTTTCATTATTAAAATTTTAGTATTAATTGCCGACATACTGGTTTATATGACGTCATTTATATATTTTTGGTACTTAACTGCCAAAAGTAAAAATCAATGGGTTTAATTTACTTTATAAAATATTAAAGATTTTTATTTATTTAATAGCTCATTTTGTCATCACTTACTCTCCTATATCCAGGGTTGATAATGATAGATCATGGCCATTTTCAGTAAAAATAATTTACTTTTTATATTTTTTATATATTATTTTAAAACATAATAACTTAGAATATTTTTTAAAATTATCTATTTATTCCCAATTACTATGTATCAAAACAGACCTGACCCTAAGCCCAAACTACATACATGGGGTGGGCAGTATTTAAATTTTTTTAAAATTTACTCAGGCCAGGCTAAAATATATATTTTTTTAAAAAATCTGAGCTGGACCACACAAATGGTATTCAGCTATCTGAAAACAATATTAACATATAAACTATTAAAAACCATATTTAAACCCTTGCATTGCACTTAACCTGTTTTTGGGAGTTCAGTCTCCAGCTCAAAACCTCTTCTTTTTTTCAAATCTGTCAGTTTTTAAAAAAAATCAGATCTAAATTTGCCCCTATAATTGGTGTCTTCTCACACCCAGCTGTGGCAATTCCTTAAAATGTAACGCGTTTTGTTCAAGCGTTACGGTATTTAACGCTATCGAAATCACAGCTGAGATAAGAATTTTTGAAATATATGTCACGAGATATGTTTTTCTTATTTTATCATAGCGTTTTCATCGTTTCGCTCCATATTTATGTATTATACTTATTTATTTACTTGATTCTTATAAATAACGTAATGTTAAATACCTCACCGTTTGAACAAAACACGTTTACCAAAAATGGAACGTAAGTAAATAAAAGTATGCAAATTTTTTTTTTAAAAAAATCATTGAAATTTAAGTTTTAACAAACAATCAGATTTTTTTTTAAAATCATAACTGTGCTTGTCAAACCCATACTAGGGGTTTTAATATGATTATGTTTTAAGAGACAAAAAATTTATGTAACGATGAATATTGGGAACAAAATTTAAAAAAAAAATTAGACTTTTTATGGCCATATCACCAAGCGTGTTGGGCTATTATTAGGAGATGGAAAGGGTTATTGTTATATGTATCGTTTTTTTTATGTAAAGTGTTACATTTTTTGTGATTATTGATTTTTTTTTTTGATTTTTTTTTGCGCAATCATTCTTATAATACATTATTATGTTAAAAGGGATTTATATAAAAATTGTTATTGTTGTAGCCGTTAGAAAAAAGAAGAAATAAATTTAATATAATATACTAAATATCAGTCATTTTCTGATATGATTATTAATTTTTTTTCCTAGGGGATGGGGAGTTGTGAAAGAAGGGGACCACATGTTCTTTGGTTAAGTGAACATGTTTTAGGTTGAGGGATTATTATATGGATTTAATTATTATTGTATAAACATGAATGTTAATATTATTAAATAAAGATGATCTTAATTAGATATTATTAAATAAAGTGGACGGAAACAGTTATATCTTTAGATTAATGATTTATTTAAATAAATATATATTTATTTTTGTAATGAATATAAAAAGGAAGAAATAAAAAGAAATAAAATTATTATATTTGTCCTCGAATTCTTTTTTTTAGAAATTTATTTTTTGTAGTTGCAAGTTTGTTATAGAATATTTGGGCTGTTGAAGTGCAAACAATTAAAAGGTGAAAGAAAAATAGAAAGGGATTAATATTTTTTTTTAAACCCATCAATAAGGTAAAAACCCAAATTTTTTTTTGATAAAATTTAATATTTAATTATTTATATATATATATTAATTAATAATTTTTAGGATATGAAGATTTAATTAACAAAAGACTTATCCCTGGTTAAAACTTTATAGTTATTATGAGGCAGATCATAGTAAAAAAGCTTAGTTTATATTGAAGAAAAAATATCCTATTTTGTGCCCCCCCCCCATTCCCTGCGTTCATAAAATATATGAAATTAAAATAAATTTGTTTGGAGGAGAGAAATATATTTTATATTTTTTTGCCACGATTTTATGTCTTTATTTCCGCCCCCCCCCTCTTCAGATACAATTGCGTGAGTTTAGGACTTTTAATTCTGTCCTTATGCTTTGCCTCTCTCGATCGTCCCTTACTGACTGCCGCTATTTTTTCTCTCGCGCTGAATTATAAGCAGATGGAACTCTACCACTCTCTACCCATGTTCGCCTACTTACTCGGAAGTTGTTTGTTCAAATCGGGAAACAGCGTTTCAGGATCGAAGCCTACGAGAACCGGGTTTTATTAATTAATGTTATAAATACCCTAGATGACTAAATATATCCATGTTCCTATTATATCTGCCTGGGCCCTAAGAGCCTAACCAGGAATGTGCAAATTATTTTAACGGGCTTATAATAATTAAAAAAAATATTGTTAAGGTATAAAAATTAATTTTATTTTAACTTTTTTGACTGGCACATGTCAAAAATATATACCATTTTTTTTTATTTACGTTTCCTTTATTAGAATTATTTTTTAACAAAACGGATCCAAAAGACCAATATAAAAATTCACAAAGAATTTCGCTTTATAAAAATAAATCGGTATTACCATAGATTTTTCAAGATAAGAGTGATTGACGGCCGATGATCCTTGTCAGAATTTAAATTTTGTAGGAAAGAAAGAACAATCGAACCTTAAAATTTGTTCGAACTTTATAACCATAATAAAACGAAATATCTAGATTGGCGTTATTTTTCCAATTGGTTTTCGTCACCTGCGCAACTTTCTTGGTGTGTTGGGCTCCATTTTTATACGAAAAAGATTCCTTCTTATCCGTTTTGACCCGGCTATTCCCATTCGAGAGAGGAATTTACGAAGTATTTTTTTTAAAAATATACCAATATCCAATTATTATTATTTTTTTTTACTTTAGGACAAAGTAGCTAATCTATGGTGCGCTTTATCGGTCTTCATCAAATTTAAAGCCATTTTTGACCGAAAGACGCTAATCTGTCTCAGGTACATTATATACCACCACATAAAAATACTGTCGATGTTTGTGAGATATTTTAAGGCAGCCATTATTTCGTTACCCTTTTCAAACGATTGGTTAAAGAAACCCCCTCTTATATGCGTCCAGGGTGTTACAAAATTCTTTGAAACAACAAAATGAAAGATTAATTTTTTTTTTATATTAAAGATTAAGATATTTGTGATTTCATGGTGAAAGATTTTTTATGCATATTATAAAAGATTTACTTATATGGGCTGTGTCCTAAATCTAGTTTAAAAATTTCGCAAGAAATAAAAAAACCTTCAGAAGTTTTTAAATTTTAATCAAATCTAAAATCTTGAAATTTATAATAGAATTTTATAGAACTTATTTTTTGGTACATGCTTCAATAAATATTTCATTTTTAAAATAACATTGTTTTCTATTTACACTTTTTACTAAGAGACCATAGGCGTAGTCAGAAGAGAGAAGAAATAGTAAGGAGAAATTACCCCCCCCCCTCCACTTTGGAAATTAGCCTATTCTCGTAAATATTATTTTAATGCTATTAATTTTCCTCTACACCCCTCCCCTCCTCCCACCCACTTCTTCCTCATAAATGGATACAATATGTCATTATGAACAAGAATTCGAAAGAATTAGTAAATATTGCTAACTTTTTAAAATCACGACTATATTTCAAAATTTTTAGAAAAAAAAGGCATTTTTATAGGCTGTGTCCAAAACAACAAAAAATTAAATTCCCAAACTTTCGAAACTTTAATATTTTAAATATAAAAACATGTCCTAAATATAATTCTAGAAAATTTACCTAAATTTCAAAAATTTTGGCATATACGATTTCCCTAAAATTTCAAAATTTGTTTGTTTCGCAGAAAAATATGTATCGCCTCGGGACATTTGATATTTTATGTAAAAAAAAATATAATAATTAGCACGATTTTAACGTTATGCGGTTGTCTTCCTTCATTCCTCAAATGTCTCACTTGCCCCAATCAAAAATCGCTGACCCTGGCTCTGGTAAAAAGAATAAATACGATTATATGATATATTTATTTTGCATGTATATTTATATATATATATATATATATTAACCGGAAATATGGTGAAAGAAAGAAAAGAAGGAAAGAAATAAATAAAAAAGTAAAGGATACAAATTTTGGGTAAAATCATTTTTTTTTTAATTTTTAAAAAATTAACGCATTTAAATGAATTTTAAAAATGCTATTTTTTTTTTATTAAACTTTAAAAAAAATTATTCTTGTAATATATGAAAATATACCTATTTGCACTATAAATATAAATACGATTTTGTAAGATATACGGAATTATACATATTAACTCACCCAAAAGGCTGTATTGCCTGACTGCCCCTCATTGTCGGTAAAATAAATGTGAGTATATATATACGGACTAGTGTTATTAAACGACTCATTTTGAGCCGATTTTTAAGAACGGCTAACTCAATATTTTAGCCTGAAAAATATAGCCTAAGCCTTGAGATTTCTCTAATAAATGTCCTAACCTTGGTTCCTTCCACAAGCAAAATCCTCAGGCTTAAGTTATATTATTCTGGGTGAAATATTGAGTTAGCCGTTTTTAAAAATCGGCTCAAAACGAGCCGTTTAACAACACTAATACGGACTATCTTCAGGTAATGGCTATTTCAGCTAATTCGGCTCAATCTTCAGACTCTTGCTGGAGAAAATCCTTTAACATTGAGGCGCCTTAATTTATATTAGGTTCCTTCAAATTTGAGCTGCTATATATTTTAAATAAAATTCCGAGGCCAATGTGATAGTTTTCGGCTAAAAACACTTGGTTTAGCCCATTTTTTTTAGCCCGCTAAAAATTGGCTTAAACGGCTAAAAAAAATGTATTAATTACCTAACTATAATAAGGGACTCAGGTACCATCTTGAAGAAAAATTAAATTTCAAAAAAAATATATATAAACAAGTGAAGTATAATATAATAATGTAAATAAATTTTGTTATAAAATTTATTCCATTTTATAAGCTTTTAAGTATAATTAAGCCTAACTTTTTCTTTATTTTACTTAAAAAGAAAAATTATACTTTAAAAATAACCCCTTGGACCTATCGACTATTTATTATTATTATTATTATAAGATTATTCTATCTCCACAAAAAAAATCGTAATTAATGATGAATTAATCCCTAAAAATTGGAATTGAAATTCGAGAATATATAATTTTGGACCTAATATTAATCTATTCTTTTTCAATAAAAATTCCTTAAGGAAGGAGAGATGTTACCTTTAACCTTATCTTATCTTATCTTATATATTATATTATTTATAATTATGTTTTTATAGGTATGTTCATCGTTATCCTTTTACCTATTTTCGTTTCAAGTTCACGAGAAAAGTATACTCTTAGTTGCCATGTAAGTCCATTCATTTTTTTTTAAAAAAATGATATCTCTTCGGGTAATACCGACATTCAGGATAATACTTTAGAAGAATCCATTCAATTCGGATAAAAATAATATTTTTTGGAGACCCGATTTTGCCTCCCAAATCAAAAAAAAAATCTTCAAAACATTTTTTTTGATTTACGGAAAATCCAAAAATAAAAATGGAATATTCGAGTAAGATGGGCTTTTCTTTTAGTGTTGTTAATTGGCTCGATTTGAGACGATTTTTTAAATTTTAAAAAATGGCTAACTCAATATTACGGCCAGAATAATATCGCGTTAGTCTCAGATGTCCAAAATCTTTGTGCCATCTATGGGAAAAATATTCAGGCTCACGTGATATTTTTCTGGATAGAATAATGAGTTGGCCGTTTTTAAAAAATCGACTTCAAAACGAGCCTTTTAGCAACACTAGGATTTTTGATCAAATTTTTCCCCATAATTACATAAAAAAATCTTTGAACATTCATTTGGAATTTATTTTTATTTTAAATCCTGGTTGGAATCGTATTTCCGGAATGCGCGTAAATGTGTGCGCTTCTATAAATGGTTTAAAGATTAAAGGACCCTTGATTTCGGTACCCTACAACATAATACCTAAAATTCAAATATATTATTTTGTATATAAGTAACACAAATCATGTGGATCAGATATTTTAGGAAACGGGGTTCCCCAAGAAGGAATCATAATTATATATAGAGGCCTTCTGGAGTGGGTGAGGGAAGGGGGGGGGGAATAAAAAATTAACTTATTTCATTTTTATAGCCTAATTATTTGAATTTTTCTGGATCAGATATTTCTGAAACGGGGTTCCCAAGAAGGAACCATAATTATACATAGAAGCCTCTGAAGTGGGAGAGGGGGGGTAAAAAATTATCTTATTTCATTTTGATAGCCTAATAATTTGAGTTTGTCCATCCATGGAACAAAACGATTGGAGCAAAAATGTAGTTATTTGAGTTTATTATGTTTTTAATTTAAATAATTCTATATTAAGCCGAATTCATCTTTACTTTTTTAAGGGTTAAGTTTTAAGATAGGATACCTTACCTAGTATTGAATTATATTGTATATAATATGTCATAATCGATTTTATACCATTACTTATATAATAAATAAAATTTTTAATATTTTTTTTTTGTAAATAGTCCAGTTATGCTGCTATTTCAAGAATATTCTTACTCCTGCGTCAATTTCCTCATGATCTCTTGTTTAAGGTTAATAATATAATTATTTTATAAATATTAAATATACCTGGTGATTAAGTCATAAAATATTTTTTTATGGCAAACCCACGAAATAATTTTCTACTTAAGGTTCTTAATTAATATAAGAAAATTTTTTAAAAATATTTACATTTATTTATCTTAGATAGGAAAGATATAGATGTATTATTTTTTACCTTTAAGTATAAATATATTAATATTCTTTAAAGGTTTCTCGAAAATATAATAATTCCTCAATTATTTCTTTATATTTCATCAAAAAAATAAGAAGTTTACACTACGAAATAATGCAAAGATTAAAGGAGGGGTAGTAAAACCTCGGCCGGTCATGGTCATGTTGAAAAATATAAATCGATAAACACAAAACGACATTGATTATATATTTTTGAAAAATAATATGTTAGTTAAATAATAATAGTAATGTTAAAGCCGTATACTTGTATTTTAATATGAGTTCGAGTCCTGAAAAATCAAATTCTTTTTTTGCTGAATATAATAGGGCTACTCATCGTTTTAAGTAGTGTTGTTAAAAAGCACTATTTTGGGTCGATTTTTCAAAACGGCCCGATTAAGATTTTAGCTAAAATAATATTATGTAATACACATCAGGATTTGGCAAATAAAATGTCCAGGCATTTCTGGCCGCTATGAGCAAAATCTTTAGGTTTGCAGAATGTTTTAACAAGTCAAATTGATAACTTAGAGCTGCAAACACAGTCCTAACACTCTGAGTGTCTACTAAACTTAGGATCTAAAAGTTAAGTTTATATTTTTAAAAGAGGGTTCTTTCTGACTAATCAAATAGTATATATTTTTGTATACTATTGATGTTTATAAATTATAAAAAGAAAGGAAAATTATACAATGGTTAATTGTAATGCCAAAGAGTAACCCTAAATGTTTATTATGATTTTTTTTTTGTTTAATATTTAAAAAATAAATTCCTTAGCATCATTTGTAAAAATGTTTAATTTTGGGCCCCCGGAGCTTTTTAAAAATTTTAAAAGTAAATTGCTAAAAAAAATGGCTTTTTTGTTGATTGCAAATGGCGCTATAAATAAAGAAAGTTATTTAGAATATTTTTTATTTCTCAATTTGTATCTAAATGGATTTTAATTAATATTAGGGGAAAATAGATGTATAATACCGGATTGAAGATTTACCGGAATCTCGAGGGATTGTTGTGAGACCAACAGTTCATTGGGAGAAAGGTTAAAAGGCTCTAAGTGGTTGGGCATATGTCCCGCCACTGATAAGGCGAATAGAAGATCTATCGCGGCATAACCCATGATGTCTTCTCTGGTTGGATAAACAGCTAAGACCATGTTTTTTTTTACTGTTGGCTTGTGACAGGTCTCATCAAAAAATCAAGGCTCATAAATATCTATGCGTTATAGCCTTCCTTTTAACCTTTCTCTTTAGATGATGGTATAAAGCTTGATATTTTTACTGCAAAAAATTTAAATAATTCTTAGCCTATTGTAACATCAACAAATAACATCTTATATATCAACTAATTAAACAGTTTAAACAAGGCAAGAACTTTTTCCTCCCTTTAGGAACACAATTAATCACTTTATAATAATTACTATTTTTTTTAAAGAAAAAATAATAAATTATGGTCGTAGTGTTTATCGAGTCGCGTTTTTTTTAAAAAAATATAGTTTATTTTCAGACTAATAAAGTAATCGATTGGTCAATAAACGAGGTTAATATTATTTTAGAATATATTTTTTACCTATCATATTTTTATAAATTACATTGTTTTCTTTGCAAAACATGGTAGCATGTACGCTTTATTCGTGAAGGATGGATTGATGCTGCCATATTATTCCCTGTTCGTCATGTACTTCCTGTTACTTTGTCAAGAGTTATTGCTCAATACTTCCGGCAGCCATTACATAAAATTTTCTTACAAAATATTCTTAGTAATTTTTTTTTCTTCATCTTTTTTATTTATATCGTTTAAAAATAAGAAAATAAATTAGGTAAAATGATAACTCCCGTTATTACAATCATACTTTGGAGCCGGATACTGTAACATTTTTTTTTGTAAATTTTGAGAAACTGGAAACCATTTTAAGATTTCCAAGAACAAAAGTGTAAAGTGTATAGTGATTCATTTTAGAGTTGTTACATTCTTTTTTTTAAAAGAATAAATATTTGGAACCGGAAATCTCGGACCGGAATCATCTTCTTGAAGTTATTTGGAATCGGAACCATTTTTTTTGAATATATTTGCGACCGGAAATCGGACCGAAACCATCTTTTTGAAAATATTTGGAACCGGAAATAAATTTTAAGTTTCCAAAACTCTGATTATAAGGGTCAGATTTATTTTCGAAATATTTATTATACTAATTCTTTAATCCTTTCTTTTCCTAACAGTTTTAATTAAATGATATTTTATATTTAAAAAAATGGCGTTGCTTATAGAATGGGAATCCTATTTTATATATAATTCATTATTTCAAATCTTTTTTAAAGAAATTTTGTTTTCCAAGCCTCGCTTTAACGATGTATATATATATCTTACTAAATTGGCGTTTAATTAATTAAAAGGGCGCATACATAGGAGTCAGCTGTAGCGCCATTTTATGGTTTTCGCTTCTACTAATTGTCTTTATTTTATTAATATATGAATGCGCATTAATGCATTTAATCGACCTGCAAATTATGAAATGGTTCTACAGCTGACTCTTTATCTGTGGATATTTTACACGCATTTAATAAATGAATCGCCAATCTAGTAGTATATATATACACATATATACATACGTCATTGGCTTTAACTTAGTCTGAGGAGTTCAGCAAAATATCAATAAGATTATTATATCTCAATGAATTGTCATTTAATTTATTTTTTAATATTAGTAAATTGAGAGTTTGAAGTTAAATAATTATTTAAATAAACCTCGTAACTCATTTCAAATGGGGGCTATGCATCTTTACTTATGTGTCTATCTATATTAAACACTATATTATAGAGTATAAATTTATATATTTTTTAGTATCGCCTCTCAACTATCCTTTCACTCATCCTAAGTCTATCATTCCATTGGATCAAATTGCCGGACGGGAAATGGCCAGATCTCATGACTCTACTCATTAGCCAATTTTGCTTCCTCCATTTTTTTTACTACCTCATTTACTTCAATTACAGAATCATCGTTTTCGACAATTCGTCATCTTCCGCGAATAGTAAAGAATTTGCGAATCAGGCCTTACCTACCACGGGAAAAAAGGGGATTTAGGCTATTTTTTAAAAAATATTAATTTACTTTATAGACTTTTACCTCGTCAAGTATCATTTTAAAACGATAGTAAAAGGAAACTAATTGATTCGTTTGGCCGACAAAATAACTTGATTCCATTTGATTCTTTACCTCGATACAAAAACAGTAGAGTTCCTTTTTTAAAAATTTTTACGGTTTGTGGAGCTATCTGAACACGGACTGTTGACTTTCACCAAAAAATAGTAATTTATTAGAAATGATACTTTGCCTTTGCGAGGTAAAATGCTATATTATATAGATTTTAATTTTTTTTAAAAAAAATGCAATAATAACTTAAAATTGTATTTATATGGGTTATTTTGTTTGATTTTTTTTAAATAAAAAATTTTATAAACAAAATATAGTATTTTGTTAGATTATTACGTGATTCGCGATATTTATAAATGATAGAAAAAAAATATAATTCGTATTTTAGATTATAATTTTGTATATTATTAAAATTAAATTTTAATATATTATTTCTTAATACGATATTATCGTTAAATATACACTTATTCTTAATTCGACAATTAAAGGGTTAATTAAATATACATGATATTGAAAATAAAAAAATATTCATGACATGAGGCTATTTCGTTTAGCATTGGCTATCTCTTTACCGTTCCTATATTTGTTGTTGTTGACGAACAATAGTTAAGATAAGAGAGCTCTTAATATTCTGTGGGTGAGTAGGTCTCCTAGATTTCTTATTTTTTTAAGAATTCTGAATTGAATTTCTTTTTTAAATCAAAGTGTTCAGAATTGAAAAAAAATAATATTTCGAAACATCTTTTAAACATTAACAGGTTAATAGAGGTAGATTCCTAACTGTAACGCTATTAGCCCGATTTTAATTGGAAACTCGTATATGTTTAACGCTTCTGTAGTTGCAAATTATGTTATAGAACATTAGAAATAATAGGAAATTGTTACAATATTTAAAATGGCCAAAAATTAGGATCGGTATTTTAAAAACATAAATATATAGAGATAAAAATATTAGTTTTTTTTTCATACAAAATTAAAAGTATATACATTATTAAAATTCAACAGAAAACAATTACATAATTTGGTATCAAAAAATTGTACATATAAATAAATAAATATGATATATATAAAATTTGTGGTGATAATAACATGATTGACATTTTAAATCTAAAAGTTTTTAAAAAAAATAATATTTAGAATAATAATAATAATAATTTTTACATATAAATGTGAATGTAAAACAGAAATGTAAGAGATTTGGAATTCAATAATATTTTTGGTTTTTGTGTTTTAAAAATTTGATTTGTGCTTTTTTGGTCATAAAAAAAAGTTTATAATCATTTTTCTCCAATTTTCATCTTCATTTTATCGAGCATCTCCTGCATTTGTTTCAGCTATTTATTTTATTTTTTATAAATTTAAATTATATCGAAAAATAAAATGGCGAATTTAACATAAATATCATATGGTAGACATATCTTTCCTTTATTATTTTATAAGTGAAACCGTTTACGAGGTGTTCGAATTATGAATGAATTAGACAAAACTTTTATTTGCGGTAGAAAAAAAATTATTCTTAAAACAATTGTTGGAAACATAAAGATTTTAAAGTATAATTATCAGAAAAGTGAAAAAGGCATTCCTAAAGTTTTTGGGGAGCATTAAATTTTCTAATCGAATGGCCATTTTGTTTTATTAATTTAATATCAAATCAAAGCATCTTCAATTCGCCCTGTATTCCAAGATCTTATACCTTCTATCCTTTTATTTAAGAGAACAAACAAATATAAATTTTCTAAAAGGAATTTATAGTTTATTTTTCATATAGTAACTATTTTTTCTTGGGAGTTTTAAAATGTTCTTCAAAATAAAAAAAAAGATCAGAGATCTTTAGAATGAAGATTTTTTTAAGATATCAAAATAACAAAACATCGGGGACCTTTAAAATTTAGATTTTTTTTGAGAATATGCTCAAATTCAAATTAACAAATCTTCCGGGATCTTTGGAATAATTTTTTTTTTTTGAGAATATTCTTAAATTCAAACAAGATTGATCCAAATTTCATCCAAAATTCCAAAGATTTTTTTGATTAAAATTTTGGGGTAAAAAAAATTTCAAGCCTTCCTTTATTTAAAGATATAGTTGTCCTGTTTCAAACTAATATAATCTCTGAAGAGAGAAAGACACGATGTTACTAAAAAGGTTTAGAGATCTGCAGGCCCAAGATACACTGGTCAGACCGTATTTTTTTTAAAATATACCCGGGCTTAGACCTAAAAAAAATTTCTTAAAAAAATACACGGGTCGGGCGGAATATTTTAAATCGACATTATTATCTATAAAATATATTTGAACATTGTGTATCATAAGAGTAATATATTACATTCATTCACTTATAACATTTCCTTTTTTTTTCAATTCTTATGCCTCGTCCTAGGCTCGAATAATTTATCTACGAATCTAAGCATTTGTAACGAAATTCACGTGACTCATTATGTGTTCATTTAAAATATTACGCGAACAACATATGATTCCGAAATTTAGTACTTTTAAATAACATTAAAATTCGTACACTAAATTCATAACCAATTTAATCAGGGGCGGGAGGGTAAAGGACGGTAGTATTACTGATTGATACATCTTATTGCATAAATATTAAGATTAATTTATCAAATTAATAGTAGAAATAAATACGCTACTAATTTATTCTATAAATTAATATCAATTTCAAATTTTCCTTGGCGTTATAATTATCTGCCATTTTAAAATTTCTCGAATCATTAGAAATTTTTTCACTGCAAAAACCAATAAAATATTTTATGATTGAGATTGTGAGAATAGCTGAAAGCATTATATTGAAATTTAAGGAAAATGTAGAATGACGAATTTAATAAATGATGTTCATTGTAAAGTCAAAATCAGAGCTCTATGAATTTAATATTTATCTATCTCGACTTAGAGCAAAACAAGCCCGTCATTCCCTATGTATCGAGCAGAGAAGAAAAATTTAATAATTCCAAAATAATCAAGTAAAAAAAAAGATGACACTGAGAATAGACCCTGCTTTATAGAATATTACCTAAAATGCTTAAAGATAAAGCTAAATTTCATTTTAAAATCATTCCTCTTGAAAAATTTATCCATTCGTCAAAAAATTAGAAGAGATTTTGAATAATTATGTTTGCATAAATCTTTTTAACCCTCTTATTGCACGCTACAGCAATTAAAATAATTTTTTTTTCTCTACTTATTATATTTATGTAAATAACATGACAAATTTGTTTTTATAATTTGCCAGATAGAGTGTTGTTAAAAAGCCCGATTTGGGTCGATTTTCTAAAACGGCCAGATTAAGATTTTAGCCATATTATGTAAACATGGTGATGTTCTGTCAGATATGAGCAAAATCTTACGGGCTTTTTAACAACATTAGCCAGAAATTTCCTAGGTATTTTACAGCATGTCATTTGAAATACACGATGAGCATAAAACGGGTAATTTTTACTTTCTATTTATGTATAATCGAAAATAAATTTAAATATATTTTTTTTTTAGTTTTGATAAAAAATTGTAAAACAATTATTAGTTGTTGGTTAAAAAAAGCGACACCCTAACATTTTTTTCTTCACAAGCCACTTTTAAATACCTTTTATATACAGGCATTTTGCACTTGACTTTTTTTTTCTCGTTATATTTTTCTGAATAAAATATTGAATTGACAGCAGTCCAACAACACTAGCCATTAGTCGTAATAAATTTATAAAACTTAAGTTATTATTAAATAATTCCTGGAATAATTTTTATAAATAAATTATAATTTAATTTTTTTTTAAAAAAAAAATATCCGTGCCGGGCCTGAAGATATAAAACCAGGGGCGAAGGCTCTGATATATATCAATATTTTTTTAAACCTCTAATTCTTTCTGCTTCAAAATTTTGTCCTTTTCATCACCTGCGTCGGGTTGATCTTTTTTAGATTTATCATTCCTTTTTATTTGAAAAAAAAATAAAATAATATTAAAATATAAAATTATTTAATATTTTTTTTTTAAATATGTAAAAATTAGAAGAAAAAAAAATCATACATTTAACTTGAATATTTTAAATTTTAAAAAGAATCAAAATCAAGAGAAATTTTGAAATATATTCAAAAATTTCTTGTTTCAAGTTTTAATTCGTAAGTTCTAGTGTTTATTGAAGTAAATTATTTACAGTGTTTGCGAAAAAAAACTCTAATTTAAAAAAAATGTAACTTTAGTTACTTTAAAAAAAAAGATGACTAATTACTTTTCAAAGGGTAACCTTCTAACTTAGTGTTGTTAAAAAGCCGACCCGATTAAGATTATTAACCAAAATAACAATTATGCAAGCCTAAAGATTTTACTCATAGCTGGCAGAAATGCTTCTATTTGTCAAATTTCGATGCTCACATAATATTATTTTAGCTAAAATCTTAATAGGGCCGTTTTAAAAAATCGTCCCGAATCGGGCTTATTAACACCAATAAATGCTTCCTTCCTTCCTTCCTTCCTTCCTACAAAGAAAAAAGCAAAATGATTATGACTCACGGCTTGTCACTGAGTTTGAGGGATCTGAAATTTTCGTAATGTAAATCGTGGGTCACTTCTTGCAAATCTTGCATATGTGTTCTAAGAAGAAAAAAAATTAATTAAAAAAACTATACATAAATACCAGAGACTTGAAGAGGTCCAAATTTTAGATCGGACCGGCTTTATATATTTTTTTTAAAAAATTATTTTAAAATCCTGCCAGAGATTTATTCGACCCGGCTCGGGTTATTTTTGATTTTACGGCCTTGGTCCGGAATTTTCAAAATGTCGTTATTTTTAGATAACTTTGTCTGTATTTTGTAAATTGTTTTAAAGGGGAGAATCGAAAATATTGAGCAGTAAATGAATGTTAAACGCTCCCATTATATAATTTTCTAACATTTTTTTTTGGACCGTATCAGCTGATATACTTATAAGTCCCTTAAGAAATGTTTTAAATATTTGTATATAAAAAAAAGGCATCCATATATTTAATTTGAGATGACTAACATGAGCATATTTCTGAGTTTAAGGAAATCGCTATGCGTAGTGTTTTCGACTTCGACAACTCCCCAAGGATAAATTCTGCCCCGCACTCCTTTCTTACCTTTAACTTCGACCATCCCCATAGATCCGCACACAGCAAATGGCATCGAACTCTATATTATATAAATTGCGAATGCAACAAATTTTTTAATCGTTTATCGATTTGATAATTTCATCGTCCTAACTGGATGAAATTAGCTACGAATTTTCCTGCCGAATTTAGGAATTCATCAAATTTGGCAATCCCAAAATGGATTACTAAATTAGTAACCAATCAAAATAAAAGTTAAATTCGGGAAGAAAATTTGTATCTGATTTCAGTTGGCTAAAATAGAAAATGGGGGGAAAATAAGGAGTCTTAACAAGCTATGTGGAAAACGGAATGGGTATAAGATTCCGGAACTTTTCGGACGTAAGTAATAGAATGTTCCAAAATATAATAAGAATATCTTTAATTTTTTTTAAAAAAAGTAACATATGATGCTCGAATTGAATTAGAACAAAACATTTTAATGCTGCATATAATACAATTGTAGAAATATATCTCTATCTAGATCCATTTGAAAAGTATCTTTTAACAACTCTGATAGTTCTATTTTTAAAAGTAATTAACTTTTACTGATTTTTCTTACAAATTCTTCTTTAAAGTGATACAATGTAACCTATTTGAGGGAGAGGTGGGGGGGGGCGAGGGATATAGATTTTTTTTTATAAGTTTAAAATTATATTTACGAAAAGAGGTAAATTTGTGATGATGGGATTTCCCCCTTCCTTCCCCTTTGGTATGCGCCTGTAGCAGCTTATAAATTTCAAGCGCTAGAATAATTAAAGTGGTCGATCATTAATTAATCTATTTATTAGGTATTTTTTTTAAATACATATTTTTCCTATTTTAAACCAATAGAAACGAAAATATTAATGCTCGGTCAAAAAAATTTGTGGAGAGGTGCAAAGAGTCCACTACTGTTTACAACCAATCTTTAAAATAAAAAAAAAATCAATGTTTATTTAATTTTATCTAAATGTAACGCTAAAAGGACATACAAATATTTATGTATTTTGCCATGTAACTATAAATGACATAAACTGGTCTTATTTCATTCATTTTTCTCCTTCGCAAAAAAAAAATGTCCAATATTTCGCTCTAACACTACACTGAGGTGAAAACGTTGTTTGCAGTTATGATAAGAAGCTTCATCCATCAATTTGTCTCCCTCGCCATTTTGAAAAATTTATCTATTAAATTTAAGGCGGAAAAAAAAGAGGTTTAGGGAATAACTTTAATCCTCTAAAAAAAAATATTGTTAAAGATAGAATATTACTTTCAACATCCTAACTTGCTGCTTAAACTCTTCGTCCTCGTCGCTCTCGCAATCAGGCATTTGATAGACGTGTATTCCATTTTCTTGAATCTCTCTTAAAATCTTTCATTTTGGTATAAGAAAAATAATATTAAAAACGTTAAACCGTAGATTTTATTTGTAAAGTTGTCTTTGTAGTCAATATTATATATATGTAATAGTGTCGTTAAACAGCTCGAATTGAGCCGATTTTTTTTAAAAAGGGGGACAATTCAATATTTAAGCCAAAAAATATTGCCTAAGCCTCGAGATTTGGCTAAGTGATGTCCTGTGCCATCTATGAACAAAATCTTCAGGCCTCGAGTAACATCGAGCCATTTTGAAAAATCGGCTTAAATCTCCGTTTAACAACACTGATATATAACGGACCTCGGTGAGGGGATGGGATGCTAAGATACAATGGCGTCGTCAAAATTTATGAATGGGAGGTGATAGGATAAACTCATAGTAGAATTTTGCGAAACCTGAGAACTAATCAAACCGTCTCAAAATTTGAGGTGGGACTAGCTGGGAAATAATTTCGTTATAATTTTGAATTTAATCCGCCACATCAATCAATATATGGTTTGATTGTATATTATTTTACAATTCTGTCTAATTTTAGATATTTTTTATAGCATACTTTTTAAAAAAATGTGAAAATTCCAGGGTAAATTTTTTGTTTGAATATATTGATTCTCGGGTAGGGATGGGTCGGGGAATATCTAATTATTTTAATGTTCAGGTTGGGAAAATAATTTTCTTGTGGATCGGGTCTGTCTCTCACGGATATCTACCTCATAGTCAGCCATATCCATTTTATATCTAAGTTATTAAGTGGATCTTAACGTCTTTGACTTAAGTGGAGGGGGGTTTTAAAGGGTACATATTCTCTCTAAGTTCTAAAAAAAAAATTCTGATAATTCTGCTGTGTACATTTGTACCACATTATCTCCAGCAAAATTAGTAAATTATAAATAAAAATTAAGCATTAGTAATTTTTTTTATATTATATTATCTCGATTTGTTGAAATTTTAATGAGTTAGAACTAGTTTTTGATATTGAATTATATGATAAAATCTACCTGGAAAAATAAATTGGGAAATTGTTTTATATTTAGTTTTATTTGCGCATTTTTTTATTTTAATAAAAAAAAATTGTATAAAAAAGATAAGATTAATGCTAATAATTTTGTTGCTCAATTTTAAAAGATATTTTATAGATTATAGTTTTGAAAAAAATGTTAATTAATTTATTATGTTGTAAACTTTCTTATAATACGATTTTGCCAGCTGTAGATACTTTTTTATGTAATGTAATTATTAATTCAATAAACTCATTTTAATATGAACACGAAATTTAGAAGATCAAAAAAAAATGACATTTTTTTATTCTAGAAAGATAATACTTATATATCAAGTGAATTTAAAAAAAATAAACCATTAAATTGGGTGGAGGGGGTTCTTTATTTTTGATTTGGAATATTTATTGATTTTGACTATGATGGGCAATGAAAATGACATTATTAGGGTGGGAGTATTTTAGAAGGGCTCTGTACACTTAGTTTGAAGACGTTATTATATTATAGATAAGGTGTGTATGGAATTGGGATTTTGAAGGAAATAGCTCAGAATTGTTTTATGTCTCTTATTCCATTTTAGCTTTAAATTATACCTAAAGATGTCATATATGAGATGGAGCTAATCTTGCCTGATATTATATTATGAGGTTACATAAAGGCTAAGCTGTATTCAAAAAAAAATTAAGTTTAAGGCGGGCAGATATAGATATTCATTGTAAAGGGAATTTTAAGAAATTGATTACAAACTGAGTCTATGTTTTCAATTTAAATTGCACACACATAAATAAAATACTCAAGATGTAACAATTTATATTTTAAATTATTTTTATAGGAGATTTAAAGATAAGTATCTATGCATATAGGAAATCTTAAACTGTCTTATAATAAGATATATAATAAAAGTAATTTTTGGTATACCCTTTCTTTGAAAACTTTGCACTCTTTAATGGTTAAAGTGTCAGCTTTAGATATAACTGGAACAATATTAACCTTTGTGTGCAACCTTTTCATCAGTTCTATGTCTAAAGGCTTCAATCTAGTATATTTTTTATTAGAAAAAAAAAGTTACTAATAGATATTCATATTTCAAGATTAAACAAGGTTATATAATATTATTATATCATGAAATGTCATAACTACCCATGTCCAATAGGATTAATAAAATAAAAGCAGCAGTGAACCCTAGTGTCTACTATATGTCTCCTATTTAACCCACTTTCATCATAAAGGTAGTGTTCAAATTGATCATTTATATACTTCAGGATTGATTCAAAGCTAATTATTTTTATTTTATTAAAAATATATGATAAATGAAAAGTAATTAAGTAATAATTACAATATTGTATATATATGTTTATTAAAAGCAATTATATTCAAAATACCAATTAGTATTATCTATGGAATCTCCAAATCCAGGAGTGTCAACAACAGTTAAACGTAATTTAACACCTCTCTCCTCAATTTCCACAGAGGAGGCTTCAATTTTAAGAGTTTGGTTAATTTTTTCTATTTATTTATGAATGTTAATTTGTCAGGAAATATTTTTATTAAAATATTTATTAGAACATACCTTCAGCACTTGGTACTACTCTATCAGGATATAAATCAGTCAAAAATAGACTGTTTATTAAGGTGCTCTTACCCAAACCAGATTCACCTATATTTTAATAAAAAATAGTTGTATCATAATACATTTAAATCTACCTACAACCATCAAAGTAAATTCAAATCCTTTTTTAACAGATTTTCTATGTACCTGATTTGGAAGATTAGCAAAACCTACATAGTTTCCTGATTCAGGAGATGATGTCTATTAATTTATATATCATTTTCATAATTTTTTTATAAAATTACCTTAACATCTGTTAACGACATGATAGCAAAAAATATAAATGTAATTAAATCCACGAAGAATAAAATTTAAAAAATAATCGAAAGAGATTTTGAATATACCTATTTAAAAGACACTACCTTTTTAATCAAAAAAAGAAACAACTTTTTTTATATATTGGAGAAAAATATTTTACATGTAAATAAATTTCTCTTTTTAAAGATTGAGTTCTTGCCCAATATAATAATATATTTGTACATCATTTCCTTTGCATTGATTGCCAATATTTTAGCAAGATTGATCAAGCCAATTTATTTTAATATCTTGGCATTTTTATATTGGATTGCATGGGGAAAGCACCGACGCTACTGCCTAGAGGAAATTTTTTTATAGAGGTCTCATTTTTATGGGGGCTTCACCCCTATACCCCACGTTTTGCGGTTTGGTTCACTTTTGCCCGACTTTCGATCGAGTTTCCTTAAGTGGGTTCTTCGAATTACATGAACTTTAATTACTTCCTATCTTTAAAAATAAATTCAAGCGATTTAAAGAGAATAGTATGACACGATAATCTATTTATTTTTAATTGCACATATATATTTTATATTAGATTTACAACGATAGCACTATAAAATCAAATCATACATCACATGTTAAAGATAAAAAAACTTAATATATAAAATCAATTAATTACACATATAAAATTATTTCAATTATACAATATAATATTGCACAGAGAATAAAATTGCTGCACTAAAAAATCAGGAACCAATCATATTTTAAATAGATATTAAATAAAATAATTTAGATAATATATAATTTTTACTTTAATAAATTTCTTATTAACTTTGAACCATTGCGTAAATAAGCAAGAATATATTCTAGCAGAGTTGTTAACGCTCCTTTTTAAAAGTAGTTAGCTCCCGCTCTTACCTTCTCAAAAAGAGCTCCCAATCCCACTACTACATTTTTAAAAGGAGCTAACTCCCGCTCCAAGTAATGGAGTGCTACTCCATAACCGCCCCTTTGATTTTAATTTTTTAGAAGGTACACAAAATAAAATCATATTTTTTTTATCAAAAAGTTTTATTTACATTAAATGATCTATCAAAATATTTATAATCTTTTATTAGCCTTAAGTAATAAATTTTCTATAGAATCTAACAAACATCCACGCCTCTCCCCTAAGACCTGTTTTGTAATACTAAATAGGCGCTCCATAGGAGCACTAGAGGTAAGCGGGGTATTGTATTTTATAAAGATATTTTTTAATTCACGGTATAAAAAAGGAGGTTGAACAAGTAATGAGAAAATTAAAATAAATATTAAAATATATTTAAAAAGCATCATATCTAACAACCCAAGCATAGTTATCATTTTGTAAAGAAAGATTTTTTATTTTTAGATGCTTTTTTAGATTGGAGCTGCTCACTTTTCAAAATGAAATACTTTTACTTAAACACAAAAGGCATTTTGCGTTTGATCATTTGTATCAACATCTTTTAGAAGTTTAAAATATTTTTTGTATGATGGAAATTCAATTTCGATTTCTTCTTCTATGATCTCTAAATCCATAATATCGAAAACTATTTTATTATATATCTATAAAATGAATATTAATATGATTTACAAGATTTTCCACAAAATTTTCAATATAAAAATGAAAAACTTGATGTTCAATATTTAAAAGATTAGAAGAAAACCCAATATAAAATTTGGCTCAATATTTAATAATGGATAAATTATATAAAATAAAATTACATTTTTATCGAATTTTAATTAACAAATATTATTAATATTTAAAAAATAATTTAATTTATACCATAAATTTAAAGGAGCAGTGGAGCGGCACTCCTCCAATCCAGCCCTAAAAGGAGCTAGCTACCACTCCTCATTTTTAAAAAGGAGAGGCGCAAAAACACATTGACGTTAACATATATATAATTCTGTACCTAAAAAATCATATATATATATTATTTTTTCCCAATATTTTTACTTGTTTTTGAATCAGGCAGGCCAGGATCTATTTCTAAAATAAGGTTCTGGATTGAAGTCGGATCTTCGAAAATAAATAGTCAGAAAATATTTCTAAACAAGCGAGAACAATAAAATATATTGTTTGAAAAATGTAGTATATGTTCAACTCAATTTTAGGTGAATCGCCAACAAAATGGGAAATTTATTTTTATAAAGCTATTCCCGCCTATTCCATTTTTAAAAATAATACTTTAAAATAAAATAATTGTAAAAGCTAAGATCTTTCTTTCTCAGTGAAAAAAGTAACTCTTGCAAGCGAGTAACCAAGGGGAGGTAGCGAGTGAGGGGGAGAGGTGATAATCCCCCCTCACACTACCCTATCTTTCATATATAATGTATCACTATAAAAAAAGAATTTGGAAGAAAATTTAATAAGAAATCGCTAACGAATAATCATAGAAAATTATTATCATCTTTTTATATATTATGTATAATTTATCATTTAATTATATATTTTGTATAATACTACTTTGTTTCTTAAATTAGTTAGGAATATTTGGTGTATAAATTCTTACATATTCTTAATTACATATTCTTAACAAGAGTTTCTTCTTCAATTACCCTGTTTATAAATATTTTTTAATATTTTGCCAATTTTTTTGGGGGGTCAATTTTTAACTTAATTTACTAAATTATTTGTTCGCTCTGCTACACAATTTTTTTCTCTTACATTATTATACCAGAAAAAGAATGCAAATAAATAGCTAATTCCTAAGTTTCAGCTTAATATATCAAAATAATTTTTAATATAAAGGAGACCGAGGTAAGTTGATGCCACATTGGTCAGGATTTTAAATTAATAATGATTTGTGTCTTTAATGACCTCAAAAACGGCTTGTAAAATCATCGCCGAGGCTAATCATGTTAGGTGGGTTTTTTCAAGTCTCCTATTAAATTTATTTATTAATCTATTTTGATGCAAAATTGGCTAAAATATTTATTAAGAAATGAGAAGCTCAACGTTTTTTCAAAGATTTACGCAAATGGATCCGCGAAAAAACCGACCAGCCTAAGAAATCCCTCTTCTTACGCCAAAGACTTTCTACCGCCATAATTCGTTCTTCTTCCATTGAATAACCTTCCATTTTCCAAGCTTCCTTTTTTTTATCCCCTATCCTTTCCCGTAAATTCTATTTCTACAATTTTTCACCTTTATTTATTTTACCTTTTTAAAATATTAATTATTTGCTAATACATTTTGACATCATATCATATCAGTAAATATTCGAATAAAGTAAGCCATGACCGGATTTATCATATTATTTTGAATTTAAAAAAAATTAATTTCTCTAATTTAATTTTTGCATTCCAAAATATAATTATTTAGTATGCTTAAATACACATTTAATCGTAAAAACTTTATAATAGACACTCAAGGCTATAATTACGTTTTGAATGCAATTTAAAATTAAAATTTGAACATCTAAATTTTCGTGTTTTTTTAAAAAAAAATTAAATCAAATGAACTCTAACAAGCCTTATGGGCCTACTCGCCCCAGTCTCCCCTATACTGGTGTATAATGGAAATCGAAATAACAATAAATTGGATATTATTTAGTTAAATCTTAATTATTTTACAATGATTGTCATATTCTTTCAATTAATTGTCAAACAGTATTGGGACTAATAATTCATTGTAGTTATACATTTTAGATAATAGAGTATTAATATCATTTGCGGAATGACTAATAAAAATAAATCTTTTTCCCATTTTATTTTTGAGGTATAAGAAAAAAAACATCATTCAATCATTTTTAATATTTATTTTGATAATGATTTAAATCATCTAGACACATATTTCGAACTTAGCTTTAGGATATATGAAAAATCCGTAGGAAAATGGCGAAAGTTGAATATCTAGCTCATCGTGAATGTGATCCTTTCCAGATAATCTTTTAGTTATTTTAGGCTTGAGCGGTGGTAATTTGGATCCGTTCATTTTCAAAATCTTGCCGTTTAAAGCCACTTCGCGAGTCAATAATTTTGGGATTAAGGGCGATGAGGACCTGTTTAAATTCCATTTGTTGTGGTTAGATTTATGGTGCAATTCGGGCGAGGTCAAAAGATAGGAATGTAGGATGCCTCCCAGAGCATGTTCTCGGCTATCTAACCTAACTATGACAGGTTTTGGCATCAAATTCATGGCATAAATCACTATACCACCCAAGTGTTTGTTGTAAACCGTGTTGTTAGGGTTTATGCAATGGGCGTAAACCCTTACGAACTCGTATTCTGCCCTCTCTTCCCCGTATCGATTAGTTAACCTGATTTTTTCTAGAAGTTTGTCAAATTTTTTGTTACCCATTTTATGTGGTTGTTTCCCGGCAGATGATGGTCTAGAGGCCGATTTGATCATTTTGAGTATTTGCGAATCGGATAATGAATCGTAATTTTCTTTATTATTGACGGTCTTGGAATGGGTACTGAGTAAAGGTAACACCTTAGGCCCCACCAACCGCTTGAACAAAATGGCTATCCAATAATCGGGATTAGGAACCGAGTCCTGTCCTATGAGCGCGTATCTACCGTTAACCAAACTTTGCCTCATGAAAACCTCTATCCCGTGCGTAGCGCAAACGCCCAGCTTGTCTAAAAACATGAAACCAGCGATAAATCTGTAGTGAAATATAAATAAATTATGATAAATCAGAGACCCCTAGACCCGGACCCAAAGTCTGGCCCGAGTAGACCATGCATTAATCCTTCATAAAAAATTATTGAAGTTGTATAAAATTATTTTATGGGGCGGGAGGTTTGAGTCGGCCCCGATATTTAGTATGCACAATCTTTCTTCCAATAATTAATCAAATAAATTCCTCATAATCTCAAATCAATGATTGTTTATGTAGTTTATTTAAAGATTTTGAACATGCAATGAAAATAATAGTAATATTATAAGATAGATGCAATAAAAGTAAGGTAAGATGTAAGGGAAGTTTTAATTTTTTTTAAATATACCCAGGCCGGGTCTAAAAAAATTTTTCTAAATAAATACCAAGGCCATGGCGAATAGTTTGC